TTCTCTTTTAATTTAATAGTGAACATTTTATAATTAAGTAGCCTATCTTAATTTATTTGTAATAATTGTAACATCAACTAATCGAACAGGTTTTTTATTTTAATTTTGAGATTCGAGTATCAGGATTCGATCTTTGAAGCCAACTGTTGATTAATATGACGTATAAACAAACATCAGAATGGTAATTAATTCGAAGATTTATTATACGACCGTGGTAAAACAATGTTTTTCATTTGTATTGTAACAATAACAAAATAAAATATGCCTTATTGTTTTTTTATGAATCACCCAACTATTGTTATTGTTCACCCAATTATCATTTAAATGAGCTACTCAGTTTATTTTACATACTTATTAACCAACAGATGGCCCCAAACGCAAATCCCGAACATCAAAATTAAACAGCGAATTCTGTTTACTTAGTTTAGATTACAAAATAAATAAATAAAGATAGGCGACTAAATAATGAAATGTTTACAATTAATTAAAAACAGAAATAAGAAAATCAATCATTCAATTTCTAAAATTGGCCAGGGGGTAAAATTCCGGGGGGTAAAAATCCGGCCCGTACATCTTCAGTTGTCTAAACGCTAGTTATATGGACAGGGGGTAAAATTCCGGTTTTTATCTAATCTAATTAATCACGCTCTGGCTATTTTCATTAGACTTCCAAATCCGCGGGGGTAAAATTCCGGCCGCGAACAAACTTTTGGCCACTCAGCTTACTACGTCATAGTGACGTCAGCTTTGCCCAGGGGGTAAAATTCCAGGGGGATAAAATTCCGGCGACCCTGAAATTGATATAAAGGATAGGTTTGACGATTAGTGTTGATGTTAGGACACCTAAGTTAAATTATGTGTACTGTAAATTTTATTGGATATTGTCGTTTTATTTTAGGTCGTTTCTATTCAGACCTACTGGAAATTGTATATAGTAGTTGTATTGTGGTGATAATAATTATGGAAGAGGCAGGTATGCTATGGAAGGTGGTATCGTTGACTAGGTCTATACACTTCTCAATTGACTATTACTGTCCCTACTGTAGGCTACTTATAATCAGTGTGCGTCTGTGCGAATCGGCTGCAAATCTCACTTCAACACTTTTCACATCGTAAAAATTGCAGAATTGGTGTTTTATTGTAAAATTATTGGATTTAAAATGCATATCGTGTAGGCCTATGATGGAATAAAAACATATTTGGTCACACAGCATTTGTTTACAAGATGATTTTTCACATTAAAACTGCAAGAAACTTTGTCTTTATATGTGTAAACTAGTTGATCTGAATTGTACACGGTTTTAACTGACTACTGAATTCCCGTACGTAGGACGGGCTAACACCTCGTTCATATTTAAAGGGAATTAAACATTTAGTCAGCTGTTTCAGTCAACTAAGAAAGTTGATTCCATGATATGCAAAAGCATAAAAAAGTTATAAGATTTACCAACAGGGTGCAGCACTATAATTTTTTTGCATTTATGTTAACAGCTATAGGTCGGCCGTTTAGAAAACGACCTGCGCGAAATTTTTAGCGCATGTAGGGGAGGTAACGGAGAGGGAGGGTACGTTCCCCCTCTCCGCCAATGGCCTTTTTCACAAGGTGTGTGGATAGTGACGTCACGTGCAAGCTGAACGTGTTTTATTTCACCAAATCATATGTTTTCTTGTAATTTCCCAAAGACTTTCGAATGACAATCATTACGAGTTAGCATTGAATATACAACACTATTAAGCGTTTTATATCCAATATAGTGTTGTATTCAATATTGAATATAGTCATAGTGTTATACAGTACAGGGTGCGGCAAAAAACCGAACCATTTTCTGCAGAGCACTGTTCAGCGACAGGTTGTCTGAAAGTGGTGTGAGTATGCTCGTTGGAAAGCCTACACAATGCCATTTTTTCTAGTCATAGAGCAGTGGTCGCTTGAGCTACGTGCGGTTGTTATGGAGTCGTTTTTAAAAAGTATTGAATTCATTCATTGCAACTCAGCAGCATAAGCAGTTTCGTGCATTCTTTCAATTAAGGCGACATGGAGATGTTCCGTTGCGTATAACAATAATGCGGTGGGTTACTAACTTTAGAACAACGGCTTCTGCGTTGAAAAGGAAGCTGAAAGGCCGACCAAAGTCAGATCGAATGCCAGACAACAAACATTCGACAGAGTTCGTACTGCTGTGGAAAACAGTCCTCGCAGGCCCACCCGAAAACAAGCGGCTTGCCGAACATGTCTGACTGCTCAGTTACACGAATTTTGAGGTTAATTTTCATCCCTACAGATTAGTTAGAATAATTATCTGTTTAATGGTGTTTATCCATACAGATAATCACGACGGAACCTCTCCATGCAGAATTAATAAATAAAAGCACGGAACTGCCACTGAGTTGCAACATAGACTAAGCAAAACAAGTAGACTCCTCATCCCATTGTAAATATTGTAGCTTTGTTTTCGTGTCTAGTTCATGTACGTCCACACTGATCGCTGGGGTAGACAACATTTTGTTTCTATTATTTTAGGGTTATTTTCATGATTTGTGCTTTACTATATGGTAATATAACTAGAAGACCAGTTATTGTTTATGATTAAATCGTTTTATTTGGTTAAATGAGGTTTTAAATTACTGAAATAACAAGAAACAAAATGTAAACAAAACATAACCTCTTCAGTTGGACGTACAGAACTAACAATAAAATACCCCCGCCGCGGCAAGCCTGCAGACTTAGCGAATTTCCATTTGCCCGATTGAACTTACACTAAAATGTCTCCTCAACAATATCACATTTATTCCCTATTTAAATAGAATTAGTTTAACGAGTAGGTTTGCTGAAACAAGGAAGGGTAAAAAATTGTGTTTTTTATGTAAAATGTTAAAAGGTACTGTAGTTTAGTAAGAAATTAATGTTTTTTTTCCAAATTTGATCAAAATTAGTTCATAAACAAGTAAACTACAACAGTTGACTCAATAAGAATAACACGTGAATTTTAAAATTACAACTTTTTAAAATTTTTCTCGTAACCATTAGGCGCATAATAACGCTTCAATATACTAAATTATTTGTTTTTAAGCTCTACAGAATGGTTTAGAAAGAAATTGTGAAATTTTGCGTTTTTAGGGTCAAAAATGGGAAAACCCTATTTTTACCCCATAAAACAGCCCATAAACGGACAATCATCACGAATCTCGCCACGAATAAGATATAGCCGCAATCACAAAGAGTCATGGAAGCTGAGGTAATCGCAGGAGATTATCGCGGATGTAGCCACGATTGTGTAAGACGCAAATAACGCGACTGCAATTAGCCTATAATGGTGTTGCCACCATCGCAAGTAACGATCACACATCTTAGTGACGGCCTTTTAGTGAATATAGGGTATAAGCTATCATCGTAGTACTCATGGTAATACCTCTGGACCCGGGATGGCAAGGCGTATAAAAGAAGGTGTGTGCACGCACATCCCCCACTCCTCCAATCAGCCAATCAAGTATTTACTGCTTTACTTTTTTTCTGTTAAATAGTAGTGTTATATTGTATAACACTACTACAGTATATTCATTCAGTGTTGAATACAACGCTATTTTGGATATATAAAACTAAATAATAGTGTTATATATTCAATGCTGATTCCTAATGATTGTCATTCAAAAGTCTTTGGAAAATTATAAGAAAACATATGATTTGGTAAAATAAAATATAAAATAAAATAAAGGGTGGTGGTGGGGTGGCAGTGGAGTGGGGGAAGAGCCATATTCTGTCTCACTCCCACAGCTCGGTATCTCTCTCTCGCACCAATGCTACGAGGAGGACGCTTTCTAAGCGGCTGACCTATAATTTGAACTAAGCAGCAACAAAAAACTGTGATACGCAATGAGAACTGTCAAAGTAGGATTGTTTACAGTTATGTTTATGTTTTAATGTCATTAATAATTTGTGATTTTTTGAGAATTTTTTATAATTGTTTTATTGTTTAGGTGAAGAGGTAGAACATTATGGCTATGGTAGATGTGTAATACCATAGTTTACTGTAAATTTAAAGAAGCAAATTTAATCTAAATCTGTCCTCCCCAATTGCAAACGCAAAGCTTGAGTATAACTGCAATAAGCATTTTACCAACTTATATGCCAACCCCGTACGAAGGACGGGTACTCTGCTAGTACACAAATAAAAGATCACAAAACAAAGATAAGCTATATTAGGATGTTTGGTGATCTTTTATCTGTGTTTTTGTCAGCCCTTGGACTCTTTTTGTTAGGTTAGATTGCTAGACTCCATCTCTTTTTAAAACAATTCCCATCTAGTCAATTTTTTATAGTCACTAGGCTTTCCTATAGAATAAAAGTATGATATTGCATACAAAATATACTATACTGGTAACCTGGAAAACTAAGACAGGCAGATTTTCAGTAACTCAGATCTGGACCCCTCAGGATAATACTCTGAACCTAATTAGTATTACTCTACACCAAAAAACTTAAAATTTCAGTTAAAAATAGGATCACAAACTTTACTTATAATTATCATGAAACATTATTTCAGGCGATGCTGAAACTGTGGCAAGACAGAGAAAACTGGAAGGCAACATGGACTGAAGAAAACTCCTCACTCATTATTGATCATATCAGAGTTACTGCAATCTAAAAGATACTGTACAAACGTTTATTACATCATTACATCTGTTAATTTAAAATATAGCATCATTTTATTACGAAAGGTTTTGTATAATTATTTGAGTGGTAACAATCCTAAACAATGTTTTGCGCAACAGAAAACGTAAGAAATAGACTAACCAACACAAGTAGACTTTTCATCCCATTGTAAATTTTGAAGCTCGTTTTTCGGGTATAGTTCATGTCCGGGTACACTGATCGATATTGTTGACAAAATAATCATGATAATGATATACCAGATAAAAGATTTCCAGCCAACCAGAACTTATCAGTTTTTACATCAAAAATTAAAAACGGGAATAAGTTTACAGACAAACTAAATATCCACAAAGCTTTATTAAAATAAGAAAATAACAAGGAACACAGTGGTATAGATCAAGATAACTTTCAAAATAATCTGGTAATACTGAAAATATTTAAAACTTAAGGTATAAAAAGGAGGGTCAGCTTTTTGGCTTTCTTGGTTTCTTCGTATACGTTCTGGCGATGTCTATACCCTATAAACAGGTAGTATACAAATTAGTTAATCATTAAGGTAAAAATTAGGAGCAGACTAAAGAAGCCTAAACATTACATACAAAATCGAATCTAAAATTTGATAGCATACTTGAGTACTTGTTTTAAATTTTGAATCGTTAAACATAAAATGCATAATGAAATGTATAATTAAATTTACAAGTTCAACAAGGCCAATATATAAAAATTTTATTTTTTTGACTGCTAAAATAGTCAATAAAATAAAATTATTATATATTGACCTTGTTGAACTTGTAAATTTAATCATACATTTCATTATTAGTTGCCAATATCTCCAATATAAGTTATAAAATGCATAGTTAAACTAAGGAAAATAAGAGACTAAATGTTTTGTATACATACAGAGAAGTATAACTTACCTGTCTAGGAACGAACCACTCTAGTATTTGTAGTATCAGGTACATAAGAGATACGACCAGAAGGAATGGTAAAACGTTGCTTCTCATATAGCTGAAACAAAAATAAAAATATTTAAAAAAAACGCTGAATAAACAGGCCATAATGCTCCTCTGACATTACGTCATCATAGACGACGGCAATGACGTAAAGTTTGCCGTTTGTGATCAGCTGCTTGATTTAATCTTTTCTTGGATAACAAAAATGATCCCAAACGGCAAACATTACGTCATTGCCGTCGTCTATGAAGATGTCATGCTAGTTTAGCATTATGGCCTGTTTATTTAGTGTTGCTTTGGCTTATTACAATTAGCTATCTTTGAAAAACAATGATAGCCTGGTAAGTAAGAGCAAGAATGTATTATCTACAATGTTCAAAAATAAATAATAAGTTAAATTTTAAAGTTTAATAAAATTATTCCTTGAAGCACTTTAAAATTTTTTTCTTGTGAGTATATTTGAGTTATATTTCTACTTAATATGGAAATTGTACACCACAATTTACACTAATAAAAAATAATATGCCTCAAGCACAGGTCATGGAGGTCACAATTTTCTACTTACTGGATCCAACTAAAAAACACCTCTCTGTAGCTACAATATGGCAGAACAAACAAGTTTTAGTTGATCCATTGCATTTTTTATAAAGTAAATCAAATAAAAAAAATAACTTGGTCCTAGATAGACAAAAAAAACGTATAAAAATTGTATTTTGTGGAACATTTCCACCAAATTTTACATAGATCTGGTTGATAAAATGGTGTAAAAACGTAGGATAGAAGAAATTTTGTCCCGTATTTAAAAAATCAACAGATGATCACAAGAACTGAAGACTTTCTGCACCACTGACGTTCCTGGAAGACTACGACAACATAAAAATGTGGCAATAAATTTCAATTGTGAATTTTGCCAACAAAAATCAAATTGTACCTCACAACTGGCAGGACAATGACATTGCAATGCAGGAGAAGTACAAATGATATGTTGCGCACACCATCGGATGCATACTAACGTAGGAATGCTCTGATGCTGCGGTGGCAGCAATAACCTTGCCCCAAGCGGTGCCGATGTGAAACGTCCGTTACTTTCTGGACGGCTCTCGTATCAAAACTATCTCCCATACTGTATAGTAAATGTGACATAAAGCATATCTAAAAACTCAAAAGGGATATAGACCCTTTGTTGCACAACAAAATGCTCTCTAATTAAAATTTACTGTTAATATTACCTTCTAAGTTGTTGCCCAATGGTCTTGGCAGATTCATTGGTAACACTAGCGTAGACTCTCTCTGTCCGCTGTGTGACGTTGTGCCAGCTGTAGAGAGATGAGACTCTGCGATGACAGATCTCCGGGTCAACGATCTTGCCATGACGGAGATCATCCAACGCCCTTTCCAGTCCCTCCAACAACGCTATAACATCATGAATGAATATCCCTGCTACACTAGCTTCGAATATACTGTCCAATCATCCAAAACGTTAAATTAACCAAAAGGAAGACAGAAATTCAAAATTAACATGTTTGTCAAGTTCAACAGGTCACCGCTTCTCACAAGTGTTGCCACAATCTTTTCGGATAATCGGTCATGGACAGAAAAAATTAGAGACTTACGGGAGACAATCACCAGTACCACCGTGAACGCAAGATTTACTCACGGATGCTAAATAAAAGCATAGGAGACAATGAAACCAAACAAAAGTAAATGAAAAATAATCTTAAATATTATTAATAAAAGTAAAAATACTGTATCTCATTTTTCATGTCCATGACCAATCATCCAGAAAAATTATATGCCTGACTAACCCAAATTGTTTTGGATTTCTCATATACTATTATTACTACTTATTAGTAGTTATTTATAAATGACAAATGACAAATGACAAATGACAATTCTTTATTGCACATAACATCTGTTAAAGTTATTACAAATGTAATACACAGACAGGTACATTGTCAAGGTTTCTAATAAATAAGTAAATCTAAATAGGTATATAAAAAACCTAGGATTTAGCCAGTAAGTTACCCCTACAAAGCTACAGCATGGTGGAACTGTTTATGTTAGGAGAGGTTGATGAGAGATTGGGTGTCTGTTACCAGGAGTCGTTGAAAAATTCCTCAAGAGTGTAATATGCTTTTTCTACTAAAACTGTTTTGATTTTGTCTGTAAATTTTGCTAAGTTTAATTGCTTTAAGGAGTTTGGAATTTTATTGTAAATTTTTAACCCCATATAGAGAGGACTTGTTTCATATTTTTTTAAATTATGAGTGGGGTATTGAAAAATGTCTTGTCTTCGGGTATTATATGAGTGATTACTAAGATAATTTTGAAACATACCAGGATTTCCATGAACCATTTTTAAAATTTCAAAAACGTATATTGAAGTTAGAGTTAAAATTTTAAAATTTCGAAACAATTGTCTACATGATGTTTTTTTGGGGCAATTTGCAAGAGTTCTGATTATTGACTTTTGTTTTTTAAAAACTTTGTGGACATCTGTGGCTGTCCCCCATAATGTAATACCATAGCTTAAAATAGAGTACACATAAGCATAATAAACATTTTTACATACTTCCAAGGAGGTAACCTGAATTAAAACACTTAAAGCAAATCTTGTTGGACTGAGTTTTTTGTTTAGAAAATTAATATGTTCTGTCCATTGTAGTTTACTATCCAAATATATCCCTAAAAACTTTACTACATTTGTGGGCGAGGCAGTAGTTTCTGTTCCAGTGGTTGAATTTCTCAATTTGAAAATTAAAACACTAGTTTTATCTTCATTCAAAAGTAAGCCATTTTTTAAAAACCAATTTGCTATTTCTCCAATTGTTTCTTTGACATCATCATGTAACATTTTAACAGTACTTCGTCTGATGAGAGCTGTTGTATCATCTGCATAAAGGGTAAAGTTACAGATTTGACTTGAAAAATGAAAAGGTAAATCATTAATATATGTGAGGAATAAGAGAGGACCTAGGATTGAACCTTGCGGAACTCCATAGTTATTATTTGCCCAAGAAGAGTATTTGTTCCCAGAGGCGGTTTTAATTACTGTTCTTTGTTTTCTATCGCTTAAGTAAGATTTCAAAAGTTCAATTATTTGTCCATGAAAACCAATTGCTGTAAGTTTTTTGATAAGAATTTTGTGATTAACACAATCGAAAGCCTTGGATAAGTCGCAGAACACACCAGCTGTGCACTGCGACTCATCCAAGGCCTTCAAAGCGCAATTTACAAAGTTGTTTAAAGCTGATTGGGTATTTAGATTTTTACGGAAACCAAATTGTTCCTTGCAAAACTTGTAGTTATTTTCTAAAAAGCTAGATAATCTAGTGTGAAGAATTTTTTCATAAACCTTTGAAACATTACTTAATAAAGAGATCGGTCTGTAGTTCTGTACTTCATTTAAACAACCTTTTTTGTGAATGGGTACTATTTCTGAGAGTTTTAGTAGTTGGGGAAAAACACCTTCTGCAAAAGATTGATTAATTAGTGTAGCCAAGATGTTTGATATTTCATTTGCTGACCATTTCAATAATTTAATGGGTATACCGTCCCAGCCACAGGCATTACTGTTCTTTAAACTTAGAATAGTTTTTTTTACTTCAATTTCATTTGTTTGACGAAGATTACCTAATTTTGTCACCTGAACTGTAGGATTGTTAGCATACGGATTGATATTAGCACTGTGTGGCATGTTTGGCAGCTTAAGTATATTGACAATGTTGGAGTACTGATAATTAAACAGTTCCGCCACGACTACAGCATCATCAATAATTTCATTGTTGACCTTAAGTTTAATGTGAGGCTTAACAATTTCACTTTTAACACCTACACCTAATTCTTCCTTTACAACATTCCACATGGCTTTGGACTTATTTTTTGCTTGCATTATATACCTATCATTTGCAGATTTCTTAGCTTTTTTAACAATCTTTTGAAATATCTTTTTGTAATTTTTTACATAGCTTAGAAAATTAGGATCATTACTAAATTTTGCTTCATAATGTAATTTTCTTTTGTTTATTGATGACACTGTTATCCCTAAAGTAACCCAAGTTTTTGATTTACTTTTATTTTTTGCTTTAAAAGGTTTAACTGGAAAGATTTCATCCATACTTAATTTAATCTTAGCCAAAAAATTTTTGTAATTGTTATCCACTGAACCATCTAAAGATAAAGACATCAAATTACATCTCAAGCTATTAATAAAGTTAGTATAGTTAGTTAGTTAGTTATTTACCAACCTAAGTACATATTAAAGAATACGAGAGGTCGTCCAGTGGTCGAAACTCGACCAAAAATATGTAATGTACTCACTTATCTATTTTCACCCCACACTGTAAATAAAACATGTGATTGGAGTTTCCTCCATTTGTTTTGATTTTCTGTTTATATTTCGTTGTTATTTCGTAACCAGCATAGCAACGCATAAGATCCATGTTAATTTTTTCAAATTTTTAAACTAATTTTTTGTGCTTATCTTTGAGCCCATTTAAATTTATAAAGGGATTCTGCACACCTACAGGAAAATAGCTTTCCAACGGTATGCGTAGATTTTCCCTACGATTCACACGAGCTGAGAAAAAAGGTTTTAAAGAAACATGCTTGCCTATTAATATATAGATAGATAGTAATAGCCCGCTAATCCGGCATCCAATGGTCCGATAATTTCAATAATCCAGCTTCGGTATCCATTTTTATGCTGTTTCATGCCATTTTAAACACTGTTTGACAGTCAGGAGCGATAGACATTGGGAGCGATTGGCAGGATCAAAACGGTGCCCTTTTGATGGTAGCAAGAAATATAACTACTCAACTACCCAGCTAAAAGCCTACTATAATATTATAAATGAGAAAGTTTGGATGTATGTTTGTGACAAGTGAACGCGAAAAATACTGGTCGGATTGGGCTGAAATTTGGCATGATGATAGCTCACATTCCCGATTAACATATAGGCATATTCTTATTTCAAAAATCCTTTTGGGCTCCGCCCCAGTGGCTGTTCTATGATGTTCAATAGCATTAAAGCTACAAGGATTACCAACAGGGTGCAGCACTATTATTTATTTTACATTTATGACAACAGCTAATTTGCAACCAAAAGGTGAGTGAGCGTAGCGAACGAACTTCAACCGGGAGGCAAGTTAGCGTAGCGAACAAGCTAACCTGAAGGCAAGTGAGCGCAGCGAACGAGCTCCAACCTAAAGGTGAGTGAGCGTAGCGAACGAGCTCCAACCTAAAGGTGAGTGAGCGTAGCGAACGAGCTCCAACCTAAAGGTGAGTGAGCGTAGCGAACAAACTTCAACCAGGACGTGATTGAGCCATGCGAACGAGATAATCTTGAAAATTAAGAAGTTAAACGGGGCAAAGCCCGCGGGTTACAGCTAGTATATAATAAAAACCTAAACCAGTGTCCCTTTATGGTTTACTGAATTTGTTTTCATAGTTAAAAATAGGGATGAGTCGTTTCTCGATACCACCAATACTTTGACATTGGTATCGGGGACTATCGGTATAGAGAATCGATCATCAAAAGTCGATTGTGATACAGATACCCGACACCCGGGTCTGAATACCCGTCTGAAAAGATCACACATCAGAAATTTACCACAATTGCCGCGTTTTTGCAAGACGACGATGACGTTTTCATAACCACTGGAGATGATGATGATGTCTATACTGCTACGGTAGATATTCATGATTTTCATGAACTATAAGAAATGGTATCAGTACGAGAATTTATTTTTCAGGTATCGGCACCGTATTCGTATCAAGAATCGATAAATTTTGGTATTGACACATCACAAGTAAAATACAACTTAAGTGTAGGCTACTTTATAAAGAAAGAAATATCAATACTACAACCAGTTACAGACCCTAAAGTAAATGTCAACACTTACAAGAGACAGTGGGCTCAGTGAGGTAGATAAGATCCGGTGGAAGTACTTCTGGTATCCCTCCCACCCTCGTACTGACTACTTGGAGTCTGCAAACACCGTTACAACATTGTCAACACATGAAAATAAAACATTCTTGCACTACTATTTAAAAAAAAAACAACAATAATAACAATTTTTATTATTCCATAGTAAAAAAAATCAAAATAAAAACCGTAATTGTATAAGCAGTGTTTGAAAAGCCTGTAAGTTTATCCATGAAACAACACTCAATTTATTTTATCATAACCAGTGATTAAATATATAGTTGACTTGCATCGTGCAACTGAGTATGGTTCTGTTTTTTTAGAAACATAAACTCACCTTTAGATTTTTACCATCCAGTAATGATATCTTAGTATAATTCAATTTTAAAACTAAACAATAAACTAAAAGTGATTTCAGTAGAACCCTGCTTGACCAGACTTTCCCGTTACAGTATTAATTTTTACTGGAACGCTCATTAAGAAAGAAAAGCCGTGGGATCTAATTTTATCAGGTAAGTTAGCAGAATCCCTTCCCCTTAAACAGAAATTCCATAATGTTCATTTAGCTTTCCTTTAAAATACAAGCAATAGACTATTTCATCTAGGCTAGAATAGATGGACTATAATTCCCACTAGGCCTAGTGGTGATTAAAACCAGAAATTTTGAATCTTAAAACCGAAACTTTTAAAAATCAAATCCTGAATCTCAAAGCAATCGTACAATGTTTACTAACCAGTCAAAAGTAAAAGAACCTATATTCCTGGACCTTACATAACATGAATAAACTAATGAAACACTTAAATAATTAACATAGTAGCATCAATATAAATTCAATAAATTGATTAAATCCATACAAAGCTTTTAACTCTAAAAACTTGCTAATTAAATCTCAACATTTGTTTAAAGTTAGTGGTTTTGAGATCTGAGCTTCTGTTTTGACACATCACTATTCTTATTCTTACCCGCAAGACGCCGCCTCCACTATAGCCATGCAGTAGGCCTCCGTGAGAGAGGTGTTGAGGAAGATGTGTCCCTGAGTGAGGACGTCTCTGACCTGCGAGTGTTCTAGACTACCCAGCAGCTCCACCCGGTCCTCCAACCCCAGGTTGGTGCGAACCTCCTCCAACAACCCTCTTTTGGGCCCGTCGCCACCTACCAAGAAGTGAACCTTGTGAGACCACAGGTGACACGACTGTCGAGTGATATTGACTACGGATCTACCCACCAGCCTCTGGCAACACTCACCATGTCGTACTTGACGCAAACGTCCGCCATCACCTGGGCCAGCAGGTCGATCCCCTTGCGGTAGACGAGGCGGCTCACAATCACAATGGTAACTGGAATCACAGTTTTGTCAAATGTGAGGTTAAAATATAAGTCTTTAAAGTACACTTTAGGTGAAACTAACAACAATTCCTCATGAATATGATTCATTCAAGTTCTATTTCTCTAAATTACAGCACATTACAAAAGGGCGCGAGCTATTATGGCAGTTTTAACATGTTCGCTGCAGCCCTTCAAATGGTAGGCGTAGCCCCAGTGCGGCGCAGCTTGCAGTAACAAACCCGATAACCAGATGATTGACTTTCAAATTTCGGTTTGACGAATAGCAAATAACGTTTGATGGTGTCCTGCTTTACGACGAGAGTCAGCGTAGTTTGCTAAAACACCCACAGATAGCAGCACTGCTTGGAACCTAGCCGGTCCCATTATATTGCCAATTGGAGGGAGAAAGACTGGACCAGTTGACTTTTAAGCTTGCAGGACAGGGATTTTATGGAGAAATTTTCTACCAACCTACACCACAACAAAAAGCAAGTCACACACTACACATTAACGTGATATAAGTCTGCCTGGAAGATATACGAAAGGCTTGCCGAGCGTTCCCTATCAGGTACGGACGCACCCTACGGGTACCGAGCAACGTACCCGATCGGGAACGGCCGCATACAATGTTTTAATGATTTGTAGTATTGGTAAAATGTCCTTTAAATTACTACTTTAGATGTTTTATAGTACTTAAAAATATTCATGCAAATAGTGGCTCTGTCATTAAATAATCTGTCACACATAATTACTGGAGTTTCAATACCTCCAACTAAAGGCCCTTGTAGACGGGCCCAGTAGTGGCGTCCACTGTAAGTGGCCAGTACTGGCCGCCACGAATAATTGTGCTACTGGCCTCATGTATAGGGGTACTGGCGCCTTTTTACGGCAAGTAGCTAGTGGCGGCCAATAAAGTCAAACTGGTTCGAGTTTTGTGGCCAGTGAAGCGGAAACTAACAGGTCATGTGACCTACTGGCAGCCATTATTGGCCGGTTCTCAAAGTGCCGTGGCCGCCAGTTGAGCTTTTTCAGTCACAGTGTGAGGACTTAGAAGCTGTGTAGATCATTGTTTGTGATTAGACCAAAAGTAATTTCTGTGCTGTGCTGACGTTTGTGAATTAACATGTCGAATTCGAAACCAACCAAAGATAGCGACTCAGAAAACCGTTGAGGAAGAGAAAAAATAACACAATTAAGTGGGGGCCAGATAATATTCAAACATTTTTAGAAACGTTTAAAAATTATGAACTGCTGTGGAATGTACGCCATGACGATCTCCAACAAAGCGAAAAGAGAAAGTAGTATGCTATACTAGTAGTAGTATAGTAAAGCTATCGCCACTTGCTAAATAATGTAGCGTAACTTCTAATTTTTGCCTGGCAGTTATTGCATTTCTCATAATTGTGTCTCTCTTAGCAATACTGTATTTGGCTCTACTGAGCTCAAAAGCCAGTTAAATATTGTTCAACAGTCATTCTCAATTGTCTCTTGTACTCTAAAGGATCTTCCACTGACAGTTCATGAAACAATGTTGATGAAGCTCCAAGGGTTTCTCAACGGCTTGACCCAGTCTTTTACCCACACTCTATGTTTGTTTAAAATTGTTTTCAACTCAAATCAAATCAAACATCATTTATTCAATGAAAAACAAAAGTAACAAAACCGTGTTCTAAATAGTAATGGAACTTCCTCACATAGGCGAAGCCTGTGCGTGGGGAACGAGTTATAATCAGTCCATCCATATTCTACAATCTAACATAGTTTTAATAATTATTATTATAACTCCTCACTAACAGCTAAAACACATTCACCCACCACTTCATCAAAAGCCTCATCAAATTCACTATCACTCTCCATATTTATTTCAAAACAACAACAATGTCCCCCAGGATCTACATCACACTGGCGGTCACTGTGTGAAAATATTTTGAAAGCAACTATTAACCTCGTGTGCAAGCGTACTGGCCGCTAAAACTAGTGCCGTCCACTTATGGCCGCCAGATCTGGCCCCGTCTACAAGGGCCTTAAGTTTTTGTGACTACTATTTACTGCTTGTGAAATATATTTTTAAAGTCAACCTTTTGTTCCAGTGGTCCAAAAATACAGACATTTAACCCTCATGAATACAGATAACATTTGGTAAGTTTTCTAAAGAGTGTTAGCTGGATGTCCTTACCAAGTGTCTGCTCTCTATACTGTATACAGGTTTAGTAGGACAATAATCTATACTGAAATTTTTTTAGGATTCAGAAGTGAAAATAAAAGCAATACCATTCCTCCCACACACTCTACTTGTGCAAATAATGGCTAATGGAATATAACCATGCTATGGTTTCGGTATTAACTAATTAAATTTGTAAACTAATTAAATCGAACCTCTGTCAGTTTTTCTCCTCGTTGGGTCGGGAGTGAAGGCAACAGTGTCGACTGCGTTGGGAATGACAGACACTTTTTTGTGACTCACTCTGGCTCGGAGAACTGTGTTTTCTTTACTAAATAAAAAAGGACAAATTATTATTTATTCTGTTAGTCAAGGAACTAAAACCAAAATTTACGATACATAGTTTATTTTAGTGGGAAAATATAATATAAAGATACTTGTTTATAGTATGAATAAATAAATGAGGCATTTAATCATGAGCATATATGTATCAACTAAACAGTTCATTTTTTAATTAATCAAAATAGTTTCTTCTAGAATATATAGTATTTCACATTACTTCAGGCCTAGACTTCACTTAGATAAAATCCATTAGTGACTGGCAGAATTTGAACCAAGGACCTGCGGACCGAAGCCCCACGCTACCACTAGACCAGCTTGCTCTCTCTTCAAATGAATTAAGTACAGTTATACAGTCGAAATTTAAAACCCAGTAATTTATAGGCTATTTAATGCTGTTTTATTTCATTTTCGTTGGATTTAGAAATTACATTTAATAATTTTTAATAAAAAAGTAAAGGAAATGATATTAGACTAATTACCCAGTATGAGAGACGCAAATGCAGTGATCACAGTCTGCCAGCGAGAGTTCCAAAAACTTGTTGGTTATGATGGCGGAAGTGTCGGCAAAACCAAACAGGGAATGGTCTGTGAAAACTGTCTGAAATTTCAAAATAAAATAAAATATTAAAATATCTAACCAAATTGACTTTAAATTACATAGTAACTAGATTTGAAATACATTATTACATTTACAAACATTTTATACATTACACACAACTTTTACTTACAGTTAGTTGAGCTCCAATTTACCCCATTTTGCGGTTTTGGACAAAATTGTGATACTGACCAAAAAGTGTGCTTCAATGTCATATAAAAGATGTACAGAGTTTAGTTTTCATAAGGGATGGAATCAAAATGAGGGAGTATCCAGACATTTGCCTAATCCTGTACCGGTATACAGGAAATACAGGAGTATACCAGGAAACAGGAAATACAGGAGTATACCGTTATACAGGAAATAAAGAACTATACTGGTATCCAGGAAATACAGAACTATACTGGTATACAGGAAATACAGGAGTATACCAGGAAACAGGAAATACAGAAGTATACTGGTATACAGGAGTGTTTCCATAAATGACTTGTTGTAACCTGATAGTTTTTAGCGTATTTCCCTATATGGAAGTCACACCGTTAGTAAGACTTTTCTATAAAGATAACTGCACACAGTTTATTTTAAGCTGCTTCCTTGTTATTTCATGTACTGTAGATTGCATGCATTTTTAAAACTTTTAACTAACAAATAAATTGACAAATAAGTAGGTATGACAATAATAAGTGTATGTATTAGCGCCTCTTAGTCATTGCAAATGACGAAATAGTCAATCTATTTGATTTCCTAAATTCACCACAACTACAATAACTGCCCACTGTTGCTGGGTGGGTAAAATTTTACAATAGAAAAAAAGGTCAATAGAAATTTTTGATGAAATATACAAAGAATACTTATCTAGATGTAAAACTGGTGTGTGCTGCTTAATACAAGCAACAACCTTAGCAACAAGTTACAACAAGCTTAGGACAAGGAGTCCTAAAAAGTTTGACAGGAATCGTAGTTTTTTATCTTTTCTAAAACACAAATACAAAAAACACTATAGAAAAATTCATCATGGGGCATTGTACCACTCACCTTTAATCCCAAAAGCCTGCCAATGATCATGGCCTCGTGGGCGAGTGCTGAAAACGCAGAGTGACCATGTACGTGAGTGATCTGTTCTCTGATGAACACATATCTGATGAGAGGCAATGAGCAAATCATCGTAGGCAACACGCACTGGTTGTAAAACGTCTTTATGGGTAGATAGTAAACCTGAAACCAACAGATGTTTTAACCTAAGAACTGTTTTGTTCAATTCGGCTTACAGTTAGAACTGTCAAAAGAGCTCATTTGATGAACTAAACTAACGTTCCCACGATTTCAAATTTCTGCCTTGAACTCACATTGTTTGGCCAAACTTTTATATACACACGGTCTCTTTGGCTCACATCAAATAAACAAGCCGTATTTTATGTGTATAGCGGGCTTTAGATAATACACTTTGAAACCATAAAACAAATCACAGAACCTCATTTTATTTAATTGATTTAAAAGAAAGTCACTCACAATATTTACACCGCTGGCATTGAGGAAGACTGATATCTGTTGTTTATTAAGCTTGAAAGACTCATATCAGAATTATACTCTGTTGAAAGCAAATTTACCTCCCCCAATACATATTATGTAATGAAGGGATTAAGATGCAGTGTGTAGCCAAGGCTACACTAAAAAAACAGGCCATAATGCTCGTCAAGCATGACGTCACGATAGAAGACGGCAATGACGTAGGTATTTATTTATTTATTTCCCAAGGAAAGATTTAAACAAGCAGCTGATCACAAAGGGCAAACATTACGTCATTGCCGTCTTCTATCGTGACGTCATGCTTGACGAGCATTACGGCCTGTTTCTTTAGTGTGGCCTTGGTGTAGCCTATTTGTTGTAGACCTTTATGTGTTTGTTACAAATTATAAGAACAGGAAAATAAATGAAAATTAAAATACCAAAGAAAAGTAATGACCTTGTGTGAATTTGTTAAAAATTATAGTAACAGGGAATTGGAAATGGAATACCGAGTATACAAAAATAAATGACCCTAGCCTATATGAGTTTGTTACAAATTATATGAACAGGAAAATAACTGGACATGAAAACACCAAAGAAAAATAATGACCTTATGTGAATTTGTTAAAAATTATAGTAACAGGGAATTGGAAATGGAATACCGAGTATACAAAAATAAATGACCCTAGCCTGTATGAGTTTGTTACAAATGATATGAACAGGGAAATAACTGGACATGAAAACACCAAAGAAAAATAATGACCTTGTGTGAATTTGTACAAAATTATAGTAACAGGGAATTGGAAATGGAAACGAGTATAAAAAAATTAATGACCCTATATGAGTTTGTTACAAATTATAGGAACAGGAAAATAACTGGAAATGGAAATACCAAATAAAAAAGTAATGGCCATGTATGAATTTGGTACATATTACAAGAACTAGGAGTATAACTGAAAATAGAATTATGCCGAGTAGAAAAGTGCTTCAAGGAAACACAATGTGACAAAAGGGGAGATTTAATCATCGCCAGTTTGTTGGCCTTTGTGATAACAATATCATTCTGATATGATAAATTGAAATCAATCAACAAGTTTTCTATCTTGCACAACCGTTGTTTAGTGGGTTTGAAACTAATGTATTAAGTCTAAATAATTGGAAGTTTAAATCATAAAACATGGACCAATAGAATAAAAACTATGATTATAGTAGGCCTATTGTTAGGATGAAGACATTCTAACTAGTAAATCTCCATAGTACACAAGTCTACATTGATTTTTTACTTAAGTGTACGTCATAAGTTAAAAATATTACAAAATTAAAATTAAAATACAATTAGTTTCCTACATATTTTATGATTTATAAAAAAGGCTTAGCGGTTTTCTTGGGCATTTGTATAGCTAAAATAGCTACAACAATTGATGCATAAAAACTTAACCAACCAACCATTAACAGATACGGTAGGGCCTATTATTAATTTTCAAACTGGATGAATAATAATTTTAGATTCCAATAAATTTACTACAGAATTTGAACACCATAAAAGTAGTAAACATACACACACTAGTCCAGACCACCAGCTCTTCTCTTTCAAGTCAACACAAACTGGGAACGTTTTTCTATGGATCTGATATGTAAGGGTAGGCGGTTAGAGCAATTAAAACTTCAATTAATAACCATTCTATTTTCATGTACATATCAATAAGACGAAGGATGTAAATATTAATATCGTATACACGTACTAACGCCCTTCGTCTTGCATGCAACGATATGTAAGCCCTAGACTGTCAAAAACATGTTCTCAAAACCCATCAAAAAGTGCTTTTTTTCTTTCTTCCTTTATGCTATTATGGAGAAAGTATTGTTCTTGTCGTAAGTTTTGAGTTTCTATTTTAGGTGAATATATCCGTTTTGGGTGCCCCTGAACCCAAAAAGTGGTTTTTTAATTTATGTCTGTGTGTGTCCGTCTGTATGAATGTGTAACGAACTACAGACCACACTTGTCAGGTTTCGATGAAATTTGGTGTGTTAACTAATCTATGGTAATCTCCCAGTTTTTCTTTTTTTGAAATTTTGATTTTAAATGGTGATTAAAAAAAAAAACTCATAACTGAAAAATCAATGATTCAAATTTAAATAGTAGGCCTATATTACGGTAGCCTACTTATAATTCTAAAAAAGATAGTACAACTCCAGTTTCTTTAACAATTACGGTTCAAAAGGTGAATTGTAACTTTTGTCATTTTCTCCGTAAAACATTGAAGTTACAGTACTCCCACCGTTTGCCCATGATAAAGGTTGTTGACAAGCCAATGGTAGGAAAATAATATGACAGTTTTCTGATCGATACCGTTTATTATAGCCTACTAATTAGCTTTGCCCTGGCAGAATTTAAGCTGAGGATAAAATAACAATAAGGCAAACAAACAAAATTATACAAAAAAAAACAGCTATTATGAAATGTTAGAGAATGTAATAAAATGCCAAAGTAAGAAATGGACGTAGAATTTCATGTTAACCAACCTTCAAGCCATTGGTCATGTATCGAATGCCGACTCGGTTGCCGTAAGCGTGAGTGAGAACGATGACTTTGTGTCCTCTCTGCAGTAGACATTGAGATAAGTTGAACACGTGTTCCTCAACTCCACCCATGTTGGGGTAGAAGAAGTCTGAGGCCATACTGCAAAGAACAACCTAATTGAACACTGAGGCGACTCAGGTAGACCTTATTGTAACATAGGATCAATAAGGTTACATGGTAATCACAAGTATAGTTAGGTAGGTAGGAAGGTATTGCTTTTCGTGCAACACTATATGAGAAATATAGATTTGCTGTCAGTATTCACTCCCCAAGTTTATCCTGACAACTGTTCCTACGCTGGAAGATTGCAACCCACAAATCACTAATAATAGAATATTGCACAATTTATACAAGACTATGAGTAATACTTTTTAAAAATACTTCAGACTTCTGTTGTCAGGAATCGAAAATGGCCACTTTCCTTTCATATGTCTTATCTACCACTTTTTAAAAAACTGGCAAGAAATCTCATAATAGGTATGTTAAACAGAGCTGTTTACAGTAGTCCTATACAATTATTAGAATAGGCCTGCTAATGTGCTTGGCGTCAGGTATAAATAATATAATTTTGCTCTCTTTCCTCTACGTTTGTGAGAAACAGTTTGTATTTCCCACCTTATTCTCCTTTAGAATGACATGGAAATTTTAAATTTAGGCCTACAGTTTTTGAATATGTTCTCCTTAGCTATTAAGAGCATAACACCGCTTCAATATACTGAATTAGGCTATATTTGTTTTTAAGCTTTACAAAATAGTTTATGGAAAGAAATTGAAACATTTTGTTGTCAAAAATGGGAAAAATCCATTTTTGGCCACAACAACTCGAACCCCCCAAACAAGACCCGTTCCCATAGTCCAATCACGCTGGTTCGTGAACTCGTTTGGATAAATGGAGGTGTAATATTAACCATATTACCATACCAAATGTCATCAAAATCCGATCATTTTTGCTGAAGTTATAGAGCTAGACACACACATGCAGGCTATATAGGCCCTACAGTGTGGGAAAAAAATCAAAGGTTGGTTAAATATTTCATAAAAGATAGAGCTTCAAAACTTGGTACACAGTTACTGGGCATTAAGAAAATTTTAACAGATTATTCAAAGTTGCGCTACCTCTTCAGGGATACGTCCCGCTAACTTGGGAATCAAAAGAAAATCTTAAATGTAAGCATAGGTTGATATGCACATCAAATTAGCCTAAAGATCTTTCTAAGTAAAATACAATGCCACAAACCCAATCTCAAATGGACAACTGAGGCAAAAATGACAAAAGACGCATTGAATTTGCATTGCTATTATACGCCACCTCTTCAGCCCGCTGCCCCATTAGAAATTGGAAGAAAACCATAAACGCATGCATAGGTCAATATGCTCATCAAATTAAAGGTCTTACTTAGTAGAATATAATGCCACACATTTGAGCTCAAAGAACAAATTATAGTAGACTCCCTCTTATCCACACACCTTTTAACCGGACATCGGTTTAACCAGACTACATTCGGCGGAAATGACATCTCTTTAACCAGACAATTTTTATCAGCACATCGGTTTAACCGGACTAGATCGGCAGGAAGTGGGCGGTACTGAAACGACTGTTCTGGTGGGAAATATTTGAGACCAGTGATCACTTGTCTAAATACAATGCTCTTCTAAATTTAAGTAAAATACTATAGCATTTAAACGGTCCGTTTTAACTAGTTTTTGGGGACGTCGGTTTAACCGGAAAAAACTTTATCTGGACTGGCCTTGATCCCGAGGAGTCCGGATAAGAGGGAGTCTACTGTAGGCCTAATAAAAAATGGCGGCCGTTCAAACATTCAAAATGGTTCAAGATATCATTCAACAGGTGGCCACTTTTGTCTCAGTTGTCCGTTTTGAGTTCAAATTTGAGGCATTGTATTCTACTAGTAAGGATCTTTAATTTGCTGTGCATATGCTTACTGTACATGTACAGTTCTCTCCTGACTCCTAGCGGCCCGCTCCCCTGAAGAGGTAACTTAGTGTATCACTGAATAATGTGTTTAAATGATTGTAATTGACAATAGACCCTAGGCCTTAACTTACTGGCCTACAGAAGCTTTAGGACTAATTAATGAGGAATTGGCAATTTAAAATTTGGATTTGGTAGGCTACAGTTTCTTAACTGGGATATACTAGGCCTAATATTGATTGAAAATATCAATTAATAATCAATATTTTAACTTAAACTATCAACATTACTAATGAAACTTGCATAGCCTAACCTAACTAACCAAACTTGCTGATGATGAAAAAATCTAATGAAGGTTTACTAGGTCTAATCGAATCGATCATTCAATCGATATTATCATAGGCCAGTTAACTTAAATAGTTAGCAGGCTGGGTTGATATCAGTTACTCACCAAATATTGTACCCCATACTAAATTAAAATAGCATAAACAAGTCTTCCTTGTACATTTCTTCATGTTTTTGAAACCCCACTAAGAAACACAGTTAGTGCTTCAGGCTTACATTATGTATAGAAACAACTTTTATGGTTCATAGGGCTAAACATTTACAGTATTCTAAATTTTGGTCACGAATAATTTAACTTGATTAAGATTTACAGTAAAGGAAGCGACTTTTAATGTACATTTTTCTAGGTTTAAAAAATAAGTAAAGTACAAGAAGCCAGAAAACACAAATAATGTAAGTTAGATGGTCACTGGTCACATGACTTTGGATTAAGTAAATTCCATGTGTTTTTTTAGAAAAATAACCTAAATTTAACAATTACAAACACTGTTTCGGAGAAAATTAAATTTTTCAATTACAATTTGACTTAAAATAATAGCTTGATAGGAAACACACCCAATAAACACTTTACAACCGCCCGCTGCATCATCATAACCAAAAAATCAAATGTAAACACTACACTGACTAAAGGACTAAACAGCTGGATCAGTGGAACTGACACTCTTTTGGCAACACTAAAATTTGTACCATGAAGTTTTAATGTAATAGTCGAGATTTGCCATTTGATTTTGATGCTATCTGAGCTCTGATGAGATTTTTACTACGAAAAAATCAGGGTAAGTATTCCAAAGGACTTTAATTAGGACTTTAATTTTAAAGGACCAAACACTCCTATATAGTATCGTATTAGACCACGGCCACCTCTTACTTAAAGGTGGCCGTGATTAGACTAAAAAAGTGTATATATCCAGGAATTCAAATTTTAGTAATTTTAGCATGACCCTTTCTTCTGTAAAATGCAATATCAGCCAAATAGTAAAAAGAGCTTCATCACTTCTTGGCTTCATTTTTCGAACAACAAAGGACATCAGGAACCCTCTCACACTTATAATCCTCTACAAGACTTTGGTACGTCCCGTGATGGAATACTGCTCTGTTGTCTGGTCTCCATATCAGTCTTTGCACATCGATATGCTAGATAAGATACAAAAAAGATTTTTAGACTGATTGGTCTCAGACTGGGGTACCACTTTCAGGATGTCCCTATTATCACCCTGGAGAAATACTATGATTTGCAACCACTCAGTGTGAGAAGGAGATGTTACGACCTGCAGTTTCTCTTCAAACTCGTGAATGGTATCATCGACTGCGCATCTTTGCTGAATAATATAGAATTCTCTGCCCCTAGAGGAACCAGATCCAATGATCCAAATCGTTATTCGCCAGAGGGTTCCAAGCAAGAAATTACTCCTACCATCACGTGATGTCCAGGTTTCTGAGGTTGGGTGGAGAGGCTTCGACTCACATCGACTTCTTCGGGCTTTCCTCTTCCTCATTCAAGAAGGACGCCTCAAGATATTTACTTGAGGGAACATCTTAAAAGAATTTTCCTGCCTTCCTGTGGGAACAAGTGATGTGTAGTGCCAAAAAAGGTTCAAAGGTTCAAAAAAACTATGGATGGTGATAGATGGTACTTATTCAAATATAATATTATTCCTTGGTGAAAACTCTTAATATGTGAAGCTACATGGCATTATTTCATGACAGACGTATTGATAACTTTTCTCTTCTGTTTAGTGCGGTGTTTACTACATTTATTTATTTACTTTTTGTTTTGTAAATTATTCAAATTTATAGGTTACAAACAAAACAAATCTGTATACTGTCATTCATTCATTTATTACTGTCTTACTTAAAATTATTGTTTTGTTTTAATGTTTGCATTTTGGTGTAAGTGACAAGTAAGTATCCCATGTCCCATAACTATATCTTATTAGAGTAAGTTAGTTGTCAACTGTCGTTAGGCTATCACAACAATCTGTATACTGTCATTCATTCATTTATTACTGTCTTACTTAAAATTATTGTTTTGTTTTAATGTTTGCATTTTGGTGTAAGTGACAAGTAAGTATCCCATGTCCCATAACTATATCTTATTAGAGTAGTTGTCAACTGACGTCAGGCCATCACAACAATTAATTTGCTTGCAGGTAAAGTTAGGGCCTCCATTCAATTTCAAATAACACTCTAGAGTAAGCCATTTGATCTAAATACATTGTTTTATATAGCTAGCTGATGGATGAAAGTGGTTGTGTCATGTATTTTCTATCCATCTAGCCTACAATGGCGAACATTTTTTGATATGGTTTCAAGACACTGTTGCAATCGTAAGCTGTATACTGTCACTCGCCTTTGGCTCGCTAGGCCCCCTTTTTTGGTTGGGGGTAAATAGAAATGGGCCATGGCTCAACACCTGAGCCAAATTTCTGATCTTTAGCTAATCTAGAAGTGGGTAAAATTGATTTAGACCGATGCACCTGTAGGAATAACATTGGGGGGGGGGGATTCTAATTTTCGTGGGGGGAGTTATATTTGTAAAATGTTACTTTTCGAAAAGGGCGCAATATCAACAATCATGCCAAATTTCAGATATCCAGTTAATCTAGAAATGGGTAAACGAGATTTAGACTTATGCACCTGTAAGAATAACATTAGGGGGGGATTTAATATTTGGGGGGGGGGTTGAAAATACGACGCCCACAGGCCCCCTTTTTTGGTTGGGGGTAAATACAAATGGGCCATGGCGCAAGACCTACAATTGAGCCAAATTTCAGATCTTTAGCTAATCTAGAAGTGGGTAAAATTGATTTAGATTGATGCACCTTTAGGAATAACATTGGGGGGGATTCTATATTTCGTGGGGGGGGGGGAGTTATATTTGTAAAATTTCACTTTTCGGAAAGGGCGCAAGATCTACAATCATGCCAAATTTCAGATCTAGTCATTCTAGAAATGGGTAAACGTGATTTATAGAATTATGCACCTGTAAGAATAACATTGGGGGGGATTTAATATTTGGGGGGGGGGTTGTAAATACGATAGGGGGATAGAACCTTAAGTAAACCAGAGTAAATCTATAGCATGAACGGACCATGGGAACGGGGATTTATGGTGGTTTTTATGGGGTAAATGTTATTCTCCATAAGAATAACATGGGGCTCGTAAAAACTTTCAAATTTTGACATTAAACCTAAGTTTTGGGGTCAAGGAGTAAAGTTACGAAAAACACGTAATGTGTAAAATTTAAAGTAAAGTAAGGAGAATACAAAGCAAATACAAGCCTACAGAAGAATACAAGAGAATACAAGCCTACAATGGCGAACATTTTTTGATATGGTTTCAAGACACTGTTGCAATCGTAAGCTGTATACTTCATTCATTCATTTATTACTGTCTTACTTAAAATTGTTGTTTTGTTTTAATGTTTGCATTTTGGTGTAAGTGACAAGTAAGTATCCCATGTCCCATAACTATATCTTATTAGAGTAGTTGTCAACTGTCGTCAGGCTATCACAACAATTAATTTGCTTGCAGGTAAAGTTAGGGCCTCCATTCAATTTCAAATAACACTCTAGAGTAAGCCATTTGATCTAAATACATTGTTTTATATAGCTAGCTGATGGATGAAAGTGGTTGTGTCATGTATTTTCTATCCATCTAGCCTACAATGGCGAACATTTTTTGATATGGTTTCAAGACACTGTTGCAATCGTAAGCTGTATACTGTCACTCGCCTTTGGCTCGCTAGGCCCCCTTTTTTGGTTGGGGGTAAATAGAAATGGGCCATGGCTCAACACCTGAGCCAAATTTCTGATCTTTAGCTAATCTAGAAGTGGGTAAAATTGATTTAGACCGATGCACCTGTAGGAATAACATTGGGGGGGGGGGATTCTAATTTTCGTGGGGGGGAGTTATATTTGTAAAATGTTACTTTTCAAAAAGGGCGCAATATCAACAATCATGCCAAATTTCAGATATCCAGTTAATCTAGAAATGGGTAAACGAGATTTAGACTTATGCACCTGTAAGAATAACATTAGGGGGGGATTTAATATTTGGGGGGGGGTGTTGAAAATACGACGCCCACAGGCCCCCTTTTTTGGTTGGGGGTAAATACAAATGGGCCATGGCGCAAGACCTACAATTGAGCCAAATTTCAGATCTTTAGCTAATCTAGAAGTGGGTAAAATTGATTTAGATTGATGCACCTTTAGGAATAACATTGGGGGGGATTCTATATTTCGTGGGGGGGGGGGAGTTATATTTGTAAAATTTCACTTTTCGGAAAGGGCGCAAGATCTACAATCATGCCAAATTTCAGATCTAGTCATTCTAGAAATGGGTAAACGTGATTTATAGAATTATGCACCTGTAAGAATAACATTGGGGGGGATTTAATATTTGGGGGGGGGGTTGTAAATACGATAGGGGGATAGAACCTTAAGTAAACCAGAGTAAATCTATAGCATGAACGGACCATGGGAACGGGGATTTATGGTGGTTTTTATGGGGTAAATGTTATTCTCCATAAGAATAACATGGGGCTCGTAAAAACTTTCAAATTTTGACATTAAACCTAAGTTTTGGGGTCAAGGAGTAAAGTTACGAAAAACACGTAATGTGTAAAATTTAAAGTAAAGTAAGGAGAATACAAAGCAAATACAAGCCTACAAAAGAATACAAGAGAATACAAGCCTACAATGGCGAACATTTTTTGATATGGTTTCAAGACACTGTTGCAATCGTAAGCTGTATACTTCATTCATTCATTTATTACTGTCTTACTTAAAATTGTTGTTTTGTTTTAATGTTTGCATTTTGGTGTAAGTGACAAGTAAGTATCCCATGTCCCATAACTATATCTTATTAGAGTAGTTGTCAACTGTCGTCAGGCTATCACAACAATTAATTTGCTTGCAGGTAAAGTTAGGGCCTCCATTCAATTTCAAATAACACTCTAGAGTAAGCCATTTGATCTAAATACATTGTTTTATATAGCTAGCTGATGGATGAAAGTGGTTGTGTCATGTATTTTCTATCCATCTAGCCTACAATGGCGAACATTTTTTGATATGGTTTCAAGACACTGTTGCAATCGTAAGCTGTATACTGTCACTCGCCTTTGGCTCGCTAGGCCCCCTTTTTTGGTTGGGGGTAAATAGAAATGGGCCATGGCTCAACACCTGAGCCAAATTTCTGATCTTTAGCTAATCTAGAAGTGGGTAAAATTGATTTAGACCGATGCACCTGTAGGAATAACATTGGGGGGGGGGGGATTCTAATTTTCGTGGGGGGGAGTTATATTTGTAAAATGTTACTTTTCGAAAAGGGCGCAAGATCAACAATCATGCCAAATTTCAGATATCCAGTTAATCTAGAAATGGGTAAACGAGATTTAGACTTATGCACCTGTAAGAATAACATTAGGGGGGGATTTAATATTTGGGGGGGGGGTTGAAAATACGACGCCCACAGGCCCCCTTTTTTGGTTGGGGGTAAATACAAATGGGCCATGGCGCAAGACCTACAATTGAGCCAAATTACAGATCTTTAGCTAATCTAGAAGTGGGTAAAATTGATTTAGATTGATGCACCTTTAGGAATAACATTGGGGGGGATTCTATATTTCGTGGGGGGGGGGAGTTATATTTGTAAAATTTCACTTTTCGGAAAGGGCGCAAGATCTACAATCATGCCAAATTTCAGATCTAGTCATTCTAGAAATGGGTAAACGTGATTTAGAATTATGCACCTGTAAGAATAACATTGGGGGGGATTTAATATTTGGGGGGGGGGGGGTTGTAAATACGATAGGGGGATAGAACCTTAAGTAAACCAGAGTAAATCTATAGCATGAACGGACCATGGGAACGGGGATTTATGGTGGTTTTTATGGGGTAAATGTTATTCTCCATAGGAATAACATGGGGCTCGTAAAAACTTTCAAATTTTGACATTAAACCTAAGTTTTGGGGTCAAGGAGTAAAGTTACGAAAAACACGTAATGTGTAAAATTTAAAGTAAAGTAAGGAGAATACAAAGCAAATACAAGCCTACAGAAGAATACAAGAGAATACAAGACTACAATGGCGAACATTTTTTGATGTGGTTTCAAGACACTGTTGCAATCGTAAGCTGTATACTTCATTCATTCATTTATTACTGTCTTACTTAAAATTATTGTTTTGTTTTAATGTTTGTATTTTGGTGTAAGTGACAAGTAAGTATCCCATGTCCCATAACTATATCTTATTAGAGTAGTTGTCAACTGTCGTCAGGCTATCACAACAATTAATTTGCTTGCAGGTAAAGTTAAAAGTTAGGGCCTCATTCAATTTCAAATAAAACTCTAGAGTAAGCCATTTGATCTAAATACATTGTTTTATATAGCTAGCTGATGGATGAAAGTGGTTGTGTCATGTATTTTCTATCCATCTAGCCTACAATGGCGAACATTTTTTGATATGGTTTCAAGACACTGTTGCAATCGTAAGCTGTATACCTAGTTTAGAGTTTACTAAGTAGCCTAATCCTAAGGTTGTGTTTAACCTAAAAAAATATGTATGCCTTGGCATAATTAATTAATGCTTGGTGAAACTGGGTCAAGCTGTCCTTCAGTAAGTGATCTTTATATAAAATGTTAAAACATTATCAACAATAGGCCTACTAGTTAAGGTATTGCTAGCCTAGTGCTTATCGTCTCTGACTATGGTGCGCAGGGTTGTCACCTCTCCCGGTTCTGTCGGGACAGTCCCGGTTTCGGTCCCTTGTGCCTGTATTTAGCCAAAGTTAATCCGAGTGGAGGGAGGTCTGTCCCGATTTGTCCCTAACCAAAGGTGGTAACCTGACGGTGCGGGAGGGACGGGTTCGATTCCGGCCCATCCACAATACTTGGGTTTGTACCAATTTCCCTTGAAAGTGTAGCCTATGTTGAACTACAAGTAAACATAAAATGCTGTCAGTTTATTGGCACAAAACTTATTAACATAGTGGGGCCACAGTTTGCAATAATACAATTTACTTTGCTATTTCCTTATTGTTTGGACACAGGGCAGAATTTTGAGAATACAGGCTTCACATGTGGTGCAGGCTCTGGGATCCTCTGGGGTTTGGGGAATATGGAATTCCCCTCTCCCCATTATAATTGCAGGGGGGTCTGGCTTTCCCCCAGGAAAATTTTGAGGAAAAGAGGGCGAAATGAAGATTTTTATAGGGATTTTGTGTCAAAAGTTCATTTTTTTCTGTCCTTAATATTTAATAATAATATTAATGCTTCGCCATTTGTTTGTTAGGCTAGGCATACATAGTTGATAATACATTAGAAACCTTTAGCCTAATATCGTTAAGGTTTTAACTTGGGTTATTTAAGGTCAAGCTTACCCACAAAAGTAACATAGCCCAACTATTTTGCATTGGAAAGTCAATAAGAAAAGCAAAATCCAATATTTAGTAGCCTACTGTATTTAGATAGGGTAGTCTTTTATTGAGGAGGCCTATGTAGGCCCTACAATGATGCAGTGGGATAGGAACCCGTAAGAACAACGTTCTCTCCACTTTTTCCAATCATCTTTTAAAGTAACTTGCGACCAGTGATTTTTCCGAGTCATAACTCAAGAATGGGTGTATAAGTTTTTATGATTTTAAATAGAGTTTGAATTGTTAAGTTATATCCCTTTTGCAATCTCGGTGATCTTCTTCTTTGCATCACACGATTGTAGGGTCATCATCATCTTCTGGTATCGCCTCAATAGCACACAGCACATTTTAAATTTTAAAAATAGTTTAAATTGAAGAATTTCAATCTTTATATTTTTTCAACAACTTTAACGAATGGCTATCATATCACACTATTAATATTCACTGTAGATGTTAGCCTCTGGATTGCCAAATAATATTAAAAAGGTTCAGATACCTGCTATTAAGCAATCCAATCTTGTTGTGAATACAACTAGTTTCAGCTCCTTGTGGAGCCATCATCAGGCTGTACAAGGACGTTTTTCTTTCTTCATATGAAGAGCGTCATATTATGCAACATGAAAATAAATAAAAACATTTAAACACGACACAAACACAAATACAAAACATTTATGGTTACAACTGATCAGTTAAGAAAACGGACGACACTAACCCGGCTGAGTTTGAGTCCAGAGTGTCAAAAGTCTCAAAAGAGTCTTAAACATTTTAAATTTTAAAGAAAAAAAAACCTTAAGGCTACCCTATAGGAAAAGATAGTCAGAAAGTAAAAATTTTTAGGTTTTTTTTTTGTTTTTGATTACTACCGTACCTCAATTGTCATTTGACAGGTTTGTTGAATTGACAATTCTTTAACAACAAATTGAAATTTAAGAGTGAGGTAACTTGATTTCACCAGGTAATATTTTTTGCCTAGGTAGTTCTTTACAGTTTGTGAGTAGGATGTATTTACTGTAATTGGTTCAAGTTTGTTTAGTAGGCTTTAAAATGTATACCTATGTTTTCTATCTATTTTGTCTAACCATTGAAAATTTTAAATAAAATCCTCATTTCAGATCACTAGCCTAGTTCTGTTATATGGATGGATACACAGTTAAATAAACTACTTCAAGATGAAAGTGAAGATGATATACTTGCTAGAATCCAAGAAGAAAGTCTCAGGTAAAGACACATCTCAGTTCTCTTGTCGAAGAGAAAATGAACAAATAAGTTAGTACCTATATTCTTTATATTATATTTGAACAAAAGTTTGTTCTTTTAGGGAAATTGTCATTAGGGATTAGCCATTACCATACTCTTTTTCGCAAGACTTTAGGTCTGCTTTAACGTACATTTTTGTTTTTGGATTCCCAGAAGCCATAAGCTTAGTTTTCTCGATTTATTATGTACCGTATACCTAGGTAAGTTAGGCCTTTAGTACTCTAGTAAATTACCTGGATTCAGAGTATCTGGATGAACCAATCAAATAAACATTACGTAATTGAGTGAGTTTGCAAACTAGTGTGATTCGACCATGGAAAGCCTAGCCTAAGTTTCTTTTTAATCAAGCCTTGTGTTATTTTTCAGATATTTTAATGAGGTTGAACTTCCCAGAAGAGCAGCCGAGCAAAAGGAAAAAGAAAAGAATGAGGTGATTGTTCCCAAGCAGCCAGATGTTTTCCAACCGCAACCTCATTGTTCAAAACAGGAAGATCAGTGGTCAGTAAACGTTTTAAATGTTCCTAATGTCATAAACAGCATAATTAACCCCCAGTCTGGTTTTCAAAGGTGCCAATCTTTATGAATTAAAACTTAAGCCACAACTTTAACCTTTTGGACTGAACATACTCAAATGAACCATTCAGGTAGCCTACTTTTAATTTTTTAAACAAATTATACCCAATAAGCGGATGTTTTCCAGTAATGCGTCATTCACACCTACACCAGCAACGGATGTGTTCTACCAAGCTCCAGGTCAAGGTGCTGACGGGTTCCATTTAGCGGCTGGCGAGACTTACGTCTACCCGACCAACTATCCTGTGAGGCAGTACCAGAAAACCATCATCCATTCGGCTCTCTTCCACAACACCCTCGTCAGTCTGCCAACTGGTAAAGTGTAAACTGGTAATCTACTACTGTAATGGCACATGCGATTTGCAAAAACATTAAGAAAATAAAGTACTGAAAGTTTTAGTTTACTGTGTGTCTACGATTCCTGAATATCCCCGATCTCCTGGAACAGTACCTTATAGTTTGGTCTCGGATGTTCTTGAAAACCGACGAAATCTTTTTATGTAGGCCTATCCCTAGATTTTGTAATTTGACAATGTTCAATATTTTTACCAAGCAAGTAATACATTTTCTGAACCATGAGAATTTTCTCTGCTGATGTATTAAGTTTTTACGCTGAGATTTTGGGCATAATAAGTGAGGTTCATCTAATTTCTTGTTACTACCAACTGTGATGTGTAGTGTCGACAAACCAACATCTTTTGTTAGCTAACAACAGTGTGTACTGATGTAATATGTAAATATTTCATTTTACTGTAACAAGTTCAAACCGGACCAAATTCACCGATGTGATATGATGCTTAATTTACTTATATTTCCACATATAAAGTAACTTATCCCTGAAAATGACTTAATAACGTCCCAAATATCCCAAAAAACCTTTTTGTATGGCAGGGGCTGATGATACCCTGATCGAGCTTTTTAGAATTCAGAATCAGGCAGACCTTCGGTTGTCAATAGCTAAGTAAGTTTGTAACATTTAAAAGAAATATAGTTTACTGTTTAAATTTAAAACCTTACCATCTTTCACAATAAAAACTATTTTTTACGTCACATTTCTGAAAAGTTTACAATTTCTGAGTTGCTTGGAGTTATTTCAGTCCAAGTTTATTTTAAATAAATACTTAAACTTGAAATACATATGGTTCCTGCATGGTTTGGGATGCCGCAGGTCTAGGAAAGACGTTCATCGCTGCCGTAGTCATGTACAACTTCTACCGATGGTTTCCGCAGGGCAAGATTGTGTTTATGGCCCCAACGAGGCCGCTGGTGGCTCAACAGATACGAGCATGCCATGATATCATGGCCATTCCCATAAAGGACACGATAGAAATGACTGGTGAGCACGTAGGGATTGTAGAAAAAAGTTTTGCACTGTTGAGTATAAAAAAAAATAAAGTATTTGAGGTAAGTTCTCTCCGACGAGAAATTAGTTTATTACTTTATTTTGATATAGAGTTTCTCACCAATAGGTTGCTATTTTTGAATTAATATACCAGATGCATCGAAGGGTTGAAACTCCACATAATAGTACTATTGAATTTTCTTTAAAAATCAGTTTCATTTGCAAAAATACCACATCAAATAAATTTTGGATATTTCATGAAAAATTGATGTAATTAAAGAGATTGGGTAGTGGTAGATCACAATGGCTATGCATTATTTTATCATGCTAGCAAACTTTTGTTGCTCATTGTGTTTTTATTTTAAAGGTCCCCCATTTTCTCTGAATAGTTAAAATAATAATGAGACTGGGGGGGAGGGGGTAGTGTCACTTTGTCACTACTTGTGTTGGTGTCCAACAACAGTAACATCTTTGTGGGACACCCCATATGCCTTTAAACCTTTTTTTTTTACTAAAATTTGGTGTTTGGCCAAAAAAAGCCATTTTAAGCTAATGTTATTTTTTTAATCTGTTGTTTAGATTGGATCAAGTAAACTGTTTAAACAACATATATTCTTAAAGAACCTTCATTCTCGAGAGTGTATTTGATTCAAAAGTTATATGTAATGTAATTGTAGATACCGTATTTAATTTTACTTAGGAATTAAGGCTTCCACTGTCACTAGCACTGACATTACAAACTTGGTCTTCAGGGTCTGACCGTGTCACAGACATAAATTTATAACTAAAAGCAGACATTTTGCCTTTGTTACCGATGGATTAATTTTACAACCTAACCATTATTTATAGGCTAAGGTAAAATACCTTGTATTTGTTAACAAATACTCAATATCCACTAAAACAACCTTATCATCTTCCATGAAATCAGCCTACAAATAAGTTAAAGGTCAATAACCGCAAACTGCTTTTTGCTCATTGTTCCAACTAAGTTGTTCATAGAATGGTTATAGTCTTCCGTAATCATATTTCAAGTGATTTTGTCTATGTTTCAACAAACAGAATTTAAATACAATCAGCATTGGCTACCAAAACAAAATAGTAATAACATATAAAAGTGTTAAGCCCAAAATGTTGACAATTGTTTCCATTCTGCAGGTGCCATGCATGCCACTGACCGTCTGCAGCATTGGAAGTCCAAGAGAGTGTTTTTCTTGACTCCGCAAGTCATGGCCAATGACCTACGAACCAAAGCTTGCCCCCCTGCTTGTGGAGCAGCCTTTAAATGTGTTGTTATTGACGAAGCTCACCGAGCCACCAAGGAGTACTCTTATTGCCATGTAAGCTTATGTTTGTGTAGTAATTGTTGTTGAATAGTTGAATAGGCCTATAGTGTCAAAATTTTACTTGTACTTGAATTCATCTAGAGATAGTTGAAGTTGAGTAACATTTTTGTGTCATCAAAAGTAAAGATTTTGTGTTACGTAAATGTGTGTTAATCTGATTTTAAAAGCTCTGTATCAAAGTCATCCGAGAGGGCGTAGTAGGCAATTTGTCGAATGGCGTTGTTGGCCAAGTGATAAAAAACTAACTTTCAAGCGACGTGAGGCCATGTTTGTCAAGTTTATTTGATTTATTTATTCATTCCAACGGCATATCACCAATTTCAATGTGGAGATACAATGACCATGTGGTAATAATGTTATAAAAAAATTTAGATCTAAATTGATTCAACATTTCAAAAACAACATCAGTGACAGGAAAAATAAATCCAAACATGACTAGAGAAGCAATGCAGCAATTAAACATGACATAAACTATGAGAACAATTACAATGGAAACATCCAATGATAGTAACAATATGTAACAACTATACAATGAAAAACTAACAAAAACAGAAACAATGATGTAAAACATTACAATGACAATGGTAACATCCAATGACAACAGTAACAATAGATAGCTCAACCATGGCAAAATAAACAAAAAACAAAAATGGAGGTGTGAAAATTAACAAATACCAATTGTGAGTTATTGCAATGCGAGTGTAAGGTGGTCCTACGAAAATTGAATTGCAAGTACTTTGGTGATCTTTCAGTTGATGCCTGGTAAGACATCAAATTAAGGTTAGCTTTCTGTTGAAATTTAGTATTGATAATATAGAATTCATTATACATTTTTCAGGTCATCAAAGAACTAGAGACAGCTGGTGCAATCTTTCGAGTTGTAGCTTTATCTGCTACCCCAGGATCAAATATTAAAGCTGTGGTTGAAGTAAGTAATCATTTTTTTACTGTACAATTTTACCATAATACAAGCTGCTATACCCGTGCTTTGCAACGGGAAGAAAATGTTACCTAGAGAGCTATTAAAGTGGTGCTGATGTGCGTTTTAAAATACAGCAACTCTATGATTTAGTTTGAAAATATAAACTGATTTAAAAGCGTAACCCTATTTACTTTCAAACCCCTACTTTTGATGTAATAGATCCATAAGAATATGACAACATACCTTAGTGTAGCATTGCATCAATAATTGAAGCAATTATTGCTTCATATTGATGACTCATGAATGACATGTTTTACCAAAATTCTTCAATAGTCAACCCTCTTCACATGTAGCTTACTATATAAATTGAAAAATGAAACTTTGAGCAATACTTAACAAAACGTATACAACCTCACTTTAAAACCAAACATAACCCTCCTCAATCTACATAAAGCATCACAAACATCTATTTCAAGTAAATAAACAAACACCAGTTCATTGTACTGACCAGCTGTTTCATTCGTTTCATTAACTAAATTAAAATTAAATCATTTAAACATTGGAAGCATGCCAGGCGTAGCTCTTTGGAAATCAGCCTGTGGGGCAGAACCCTTAGGAAATTTGTTCATGTCAATACTTTTCGGCAAATGTACACACTCTAAGCTTCATTTTGATATGCCATATGCCTATATTTTTATTTGGTAAATGACCTTAACCGTTTACATAAAATTTGATTGTATCACTTTAATAATATAATATATTGCATATGATATTGGTTTCTCTGATAATTTTTTCTGGATTACAATCTTAGCTTTAATTTAAAAAGTTTAGTCTTGAAACAAATAAATTAGCTTGTAAATTGGCTTGACAATCACATCCCATATTGGGAGATGACCAGAAAAATATAATTTCATGGTGCCTCTGGATCACTAAATTCAAGCTACATTGTTTAGGTTACCTTGCTTTGTCAAGTGATATTTTTTTAAGTAGTACACCATAGGTGGGCCGGACAGATAGCGAACTGCACAAGGATTTGTTGCGCATCTAAGAGGAGGTTGCTTTCCAAGCGGCCGACCTGTAGTTAGTTTTTAGTAGTTTTAGACTTCTGAAGGAGTCCATCATCAGTTGTGATAAAAACATCAGGTAATTTATCCGATTTGGCTAGATACGTCGTTGACATTGAAAACAAACATATACATCCATGTATGATTATAAAGTGGTGTAACAGTTGAGAGATAAATAAATAAACTCACATAACACAATCACATGACAAAAATACAGAAAACGATTATAATACTGTAAAAACTGGCCAGTCTTATCACTGGGGACACATGCAGTTACGCCGGTAGCCAAATCTGATAGATGACCTGATGTTTTTATCACACTTGATGATGGACTCCTCCAGAAGTCCGAACCTATAGCAGTGTGCTACTAAAATAGCATATTTCCTATATAGGAAGTTCGCTAAAAGGATCACTCGACAAAGCAATGTAACCTAAACCATTTAGCAAAATAAAATAACCGTACAACTTTAGCTTCACTAAATTGTATTGAGGTATCTTCACGCTTGAGAGTTTATTGAACTGATAATGAATAAATGCTGAGTGGTAAAAACAGTGAGATTACTTCTAACTTCCAGCTTTGTATCTAGGCCTCTTATGTTGGGTTAAAAAAAAAAACACCCTTATGTATTGGGAATATTAGTGCCCAGCTACTCATCCTATTTGTTCAAGCGTTTGCCTGTTTGTTTGATTATTCTAACATACAATTTGTGTTCATAATCAATGAGGCTATTCTGTTATGTTATGTTTACCGATCACCACTCTGTCCGCAGGTTGTACAGAATCTGAGGATCGCAATGTTGGAGCTACGAGGGGAAGATTCGACCGATGTCACTCCATACACACACGCTAAACAAGTTGAACCCATCTCTCTCACTCTCTCTAAGAATATCATAGATTTCCGAGAGCAATACTTACTTGTGAGTATCCCTGTATGTTACTCAAAATATGTAATATTTAAATTTATGTTTTTAATGTGAGTTTAAGAGGAGACAAAACACTGGGAATACGGTTTAGAATTTATTTGTTATAATCTATATAATTAATACGCTACATGAAACTTTGTCGGTTGAACTCTTCTGCCATTTCTTAACCGATTTTATCCATTGACGTCTCATTGGAAAGAGCGTGTCGCGTAGACGTGCAAACTGGCCTTACATTTTTGAAAACGTCCCTTGGGCTCTGTCCCAGTGGCTTTTAAAGTTCCCATGTTATCGTTATGAGGAACATAATTGTTTCAAATTCAAATTCAAATTCAAATAGTTTATTGCCATTAAGTATACATGTCATACAATAGGCCAGGTCAATGGAGATAATATACAATTCAAAGTACAATGTACAGAGTCAAGTGTAAATAGATGAACATGCTATACTAATAAACTAATAATACTGGGTTTTTGTACAAAAGTATTTGAGATGTATTGATAATGATGATAATAATACTGTTTATAGTTAAGCAAACAAGTTGGGTAAGTGCCTATAACAAAATAATTAAGGCTAAAATTGGCAGTAAGATACAGCTTAAAACTAAATAACAATAAATTTTTAAATAAAGTTCACAGAAATAACATTATAATGAAAGACTATTATATCACAGTTCATGAAACCATTATTACATACTTTAGAAACAATACCCTACTTAACAATTAGAATTTTACAGAAAATCATCATGTTTGAAAGATAAAAATTCCTCGATAGAGTAGATAACCTTTCTGTTCAAAAAATCGGTCAATACATTTTTCAGTGACTTAATAGGCAAGTTGCGTACATTTTCAGGGAGGGCATTGAAAAGTTTAAGTTGTAAATATTTATAGCTGCGTTGTGTTGAGGCCAGTCTTAATGATGGTAACTCTAAATTATTCCTTAGTCTGGTGTAATGATTGTGAGTTAATGAGCGAGATGAGAATTGTTCAATATTTGTTTTTACAAAAATGATATTCTGCAAAATGTACACACTTGGTAAAGTAAGAATTTTGTATTCAGGAAAAAAGGTCTTACAACTAACTCTACTTTTTATGCCAGCTAGGATACGGATTGCTTTTTTCTGTTTTTTAAAAACGTTAACTGCCCCACTACACTGCCCCACAAAATTACCCCATAAACTAAGTGACAATGAAAGAATGCATAATAAACATTAATTAACATACTTAAACTAACATGATTTTTCAACCTCCTGAGCAGAAACAAAGAGTTACTTAACCTTGCAACAACCATTTCAGTATGACTACGCCAAGATAACTTACAGTCTAATATGATTCCTAGCAGTTTAGCATTTGATACTTCAGATACAAGATTTGTCTGTGAAAAAATAATTGAAACAGTTTTGTCATTGTTTACTGAAAATTTATTTGCCTTAAACCAACTATCGGCTGCTATTTTCATCTCCTCAGTTTTAATTTTTACCTCTTGCAAAGATTTGCTTGAGACTATTAAGGAGGTGTCATCTGCATACAGTACTGATTTTGAAGGAAGATTAGATGGAAGATCATTTATTGCAATTAAAAACAAAAAAGGGCCAAGTACAGAACCCTGGGGTACTCCTGCTGTGACTTCTTTCCACTGAGAGGTTTTATTGTTGGCTGATACCATCTGATATCTATTTCCTAAATATGATTTAAATAGATCTAAAGTTTTATCTTTTACACCATAGTAACTTAACTTATCAATCAACAGGCTATGAGAAACACAATCAAATGCTTTACTTAAATCTACTAAAGTTAACTCTAAAAAGGCGTGTGATTCAAAAGCATTCAGAATGTCATCAACAACTGACTTACAAGCATCGATAGTTGATAAACCGGCTCTGAAGCCAAACTGGGAGTTGCTTAGAAAATTATGATTACTAAAAAAGGCAAAAAAAGGTTATATTTTGATCAGCTGTATTATTTAATTGCTGTTATTTATTTTTCACTTCAACAAAACGCATTCGGTACATTTAATTTACTGATTTTTAAAAATTAAATATTTACTATTTTAATTTATATTTGTATATATTACAATGTAAAAAATCGAGAAAGTTTGGGCAATTTGATATATTTTTCCAAATAAGAAAAACTAATTGACAGGGTACTGTAATTCTTGAGCAATCATTGATAGAACCGATTTGTTAACCATGGAAACCATAGGAAAGTAATAGAACGCCACCAAGTAGAAGAAATAGAGATAAAAAAAATACTATCGTTATCATCCTATACAGGGTGTTCATTTGAAAACTTTCCATATCTGTTGTGTGCAAAGGTAAGGCTTTTAACACTTGTTTGTTCTCATTTCCCCCTAATTTGGACATGCCAAATCCAATAAAATTATTTTCAATTTTGAAAAATGCCCCAAAAGGGCCCAATTTGGGGGGTAGGGGTGCTTTTTGAGAAATTTTCAAATGTAAACATGGGTTGTGTGATACATCAATTTAAAGGTCTAATCACCCCGATCATTTTGGTGCAAAAAAAGTTTAATTATCTTTAACCGTATTTACAGGGTGGGTCAAAACGTTTTAAAAAAGGACTTTGAAGTTAAGTACCGTATTACCCTAACTACTGAACGGAACAGCGCCAAATTTCTTTCCAAGCTTATTCTTGAGCTACTCTTTAAGATAACTTGTAGTAAGGGCATTTTTCAAGTTATTTTCTAATTTTAAAAAAATCTCAAATTTTAAGAATAAAAGAAAGCTGAAAACTCAAAATTCTTAAATAGCAAGGTATAACAAATTTCATACCACGTGAAAGTTCCTTTTTAGCGAATTTCCCTATAGGGAAGTAGCTATTACCGTAGGTGGCACGGTAAGACCTAGACCCGGGACCGATTTACTTTTTCATTTTGATGTCCCCAGAGGCCAAAAACACTATTCGTTCAAATTTTTATATATGTATATATATATATATAGACTTATATATATATATATATATACGTCCGTGAACGCGATAACTTGAGTAATTTTTGTCCGATTTTGATGAAATTTGGTTTAAAGGTGTAAAGCGGGATAAACTTGAATGAGTTCGCGAACCAGCACGATCGGACCATGGGAACGGGGCTTTACGGGGGGTTTTATGGGGTAAAAATTGGTTTTTCTCACTTTTGACCCTCAAAACACAAAATTTCCCAATTTCTCTTTAGACCTTTTTAAAGAGCTTAAAAAAACAAATAATTTAGTATATAAAAGTATTTTTGTTCAATTATTAGTAACGGAGAAAATTAAAAAAATTGTTAATTTAAAATTCCCATGTTATTCTTATGGAGAATATTGTCAAATGTTGTAGTTTGCTTGTTTATGAATATATTTTGATCAAACTTGGCAAATTTATTTATTTTGTACTAAGCTATCAATATTTTACTCAAAAACACACTTTATTAGTTTCCTTGTAGCAGCAAACCTAGGTACTCGTTAAACCTAATGTTATTAAAATATATTTAACTGAAAATCAATTCAGACAAATGGAAATTCGCTTAGTCGGCAGGTTTGCTGCGGCGGGGGTATTTAACATACATTTTACGTATTTAAGTTTTCTTTCTATCTCTTACCGTTTAAAAATTGCAGTAGAAAAACATAATCCTTTTTTAAGTCCTTTTTTAAAACATTTTGACCCACCCTGTAAATACGGTTAAAGATAATTAAACTTTTTTTGCACCAAAATGATCGGGGTGATTAGACCTTTAAATTGATGTATCACACAACCCATGTTTACATTTGAAAATTTCTCAAAAAGCACCCCTACCCCCCAAATTGGGCCCTTTTGGGGCATTTTTCAAAATTGAAAATAATTTTATTGGATTTGGCATGTCCAAATTAGGGGGAAATGAGAACAAACAAGTGTTAAAAGCCTTACCTTTGCACACAACAGATATGGACAGTTTTCAAATGAACACCCTGTATAATGAAGAACACCTACAATATGAAGATTCCCACAAACAATGAACAAGGATGCTAGCCGAAGTGCCACTATTTTGTAGGAAACACGGACTTAACTTTATGATGATTAGGTTAGGTACATAATCTATGAGTTGAGTCTTTTAAACTCATCGGAAATTGTGACTTTTATTCGTTTTTAAATAACTTTTTACTTCTTTGCAATTGCTCGATTTCGAGCAACATGTACACAAGTATTGACTAACGCATTACTTATTCATAACAAATTACGCAGAATCTGATTCTAATAATAAAAAAAAAATTGTTTTGTTTCAGATTTTTGAACGTTATGCGAAAAGCTTGAGAGAATCTCGTCTAATAACGTGTAATGTTTTGAACATCACAAAGTTTCAGGTGAGATATTATGATTAATGTAATTAGCAAACATAATTATTATTGTTTTACCAACCTTACTGTCTTGCTTACATCATTGTTTAAAATATTTATTCTGAACTGTCTTATTATATCACATACACAAGAGATTGTGTTTGTGCAAAATATACTTGGTCCAAGAGGTCCCTGCTAGACAATTGTTTAGATACATCACCCATCGTGTTGTATCACATTTCATCAAGCCTTTTACAATACTTCATAGTCGTATTTATTTATATAGTACTATATACCCCCTTTATTTACCCCACCACAGTCAAATTTTGGTCAAGTATATATTCCATCCCCCTGTTAAATTTGTAGCTAAGCCTAGTTGTAGAAAAAGAAAATAACAAGAATACTTGGTTAAATTGTGCCACCAGCACCATACTACAGTCTAAGCTTCCTGGTCTGAAACTGATGAGAACCTCTTCTGCAAAGGAGTGGGGGATTGTGGGAGAGCCCCTCAAGTTGATTTAAGACAATTTGTAAAATTAATGTTAAAATAATGTAATAATTTTTTAATTATAAAATTTACTTTGTAATTATAAAATTAAACTGTCATAACCTAACTTGCTGATAATATAAAAAAGATACAAGATAATAATGTAATGAAGGCTTACTAATAAACAAATTAGTTCTGTTCATAAACTAAAATTAAAAATGCTTCAAATTCTAACAAAAGATGTATAGTTAAGAAAGTAATCGTATTCTAAGCCAAATCTTTGACAATGGTGGGATTCCATCTGGATACCTAATGGACATCAGTCGAGTACGCTAACCACTATGCCCCGAACACCGATGGCTTCATTTCGTATCGTGTTGGTAATGGTGTTCCCTCAAGAGAAGAGTGACGTCACGCCCCCCCACTCCTTCGCTAAAGAGGTTCTCATTGGTTTCTAACCAGGAACACGAGACTCTATACCGGCACCATGTGCAGCTGTTTTCTTTCTTACACCAGCATTCTATTCGTTCCAAACAAAAATGGCTTATATACCTAAAAACTTAAAGTAGGAATAGCATCCACTTATTTTCTTTTGATTTCATCTTAGGTTGTGAGAGTTTTTGTATGGTACATTGACAACCTACCTAAAAAGAATTTCCCTTACTGTTAATATGACTGTAGTACTAACTATCTAACCTTTAATAGAATTCCTGAAAATGTATTGAATTTCCTCATAGCTGTTGAAAGCAAGTGAGAAGATGCGTTCACGGCCTCCTAATGGGATGAACAAAGCCAGGGTAGGAGCCATGATGTCTGACTTCACTGTCTGTATGACACTGGCTCATGGACTAGAGTTGATACAGACCTACGGGCTGCGGGCCTTCTATCAGTACTTCACTGGTAAGTCATCAAACAAGGATAAAATGTCTTTGTCTTGATTACAAACGATGCTCATTTATAAACTGTTATGGGGCAACTCATGTCAAAATTATGTGACATAAATGCCTGGAGTGAATATAACTATTTTCTCAATAGGCCTAGCCTGTTTTGAGAGAATAGTAAGTGTTCCTAGAACCAGCCACACTCTAATTTCTTCCTTGGAGTGCTCAGGAGCCGATAAAATCCCGGGATCAATACTGAAGATGGTCCATAGTTTTAACTAACAAATTTTGTAATATAATTGAGGGCTTAGAGTTCAAAGAGCGCTCAGGAAATCCTGCATGTGCTCGTAGAGTTATATTATACTCACCCCCGTGAAAATACTATTGAGATTTTTGTTGGCCTGACAAGAATTCTTCCTAATTTGAGGGATTTAAATTACTTTCCCTTAAAGTGTTTGTTGTCTCAAACACAAAATGCCACTGGCGTTGAAAATAACGGTGATAAATCGGAAAATACCGAGTAAGTATATTTATATACAGTATATATTTAGACAGCAGACTAAGTTGGGATAGTCACTTAGAGCAATTGTGTAAGAAACTGGCCAGAGTGGTTTGTCTTCTCAGAAAACTAAGACACTGTGTTACTGCAGATATGCTGATTACTGCATACTATGCTTTTTTTCATTCCCATCTACGATATGGTATAACCTTATGGGGCAACTCTTGCAGTGCACAGACTGCTCTTGGATGGCAAAAAAAGGCACTGAGAGCAATCAAGAATATACCACAAAGACAGTCTTGTAAACCAATATTCAAAGAATTACAAATAATGACTTTGCCTAATCTATATATTTACTGTTGTCTAATAGATGTTAAGGAGTCTTTGACAAATTTTCCAACTAGAAACGAAACTCATCAGTACTATACTAGGAATAGATTTAGATTTAGATTTAGATTTAGATTTCTTGTCATGAGAGCCGAAGCCCCCTGACTGCTTACCCGGTACCTATCCTTCAGGACATACCCGGGCCCCATGATGTAGGCCGAAGCTTACGCATCAACCTTTAGCACATCATGGGCGGATGACTTAAGGTCATCAGGCTCGCCGGCTGCCGAAGCAGACCCTTCGGAAAGAGGGTTGCCCCTCAATCCTAACCAGGGATTCCGGCTGCTTGTTTAAGCGTCACTCCACCTGGGTTCCACTAGGTCGGAACCTAGAGGTCCATAGTAGAGCGCCCCGACGCATTTAGTGCAAGCAACACTCGGGACCTATCTCATCCCTGACAGGCAGAACCCGCCATCAATAGCCAGGAGGAAGGGGACCATCAGCACGCTGACGGGGGGAACCCCAATCTCCCATTTACACCGCTGCCCGATCGAGGCCTGACCCATTGCTGGGAACCAGAGATATCCAGAGCGATAGATCCCCAGATACCCCTGGCGGGCTCGGACCCAGCACCCGATCTACTTCGTTTGCCCGTCAGACCCAACATCACTGCCAGGCCATCAGGGTTTCCCAAAAGGAGGCAGGTATAGAAGTGGGACCCACCCGGATGAACCTATCCACCAGAGGTGGCGACACCCTTGTCTCAATTGAGGTTCCGGGAAGAACCCCCCACACTCAAGATAACCATACCGTCCGTGCTCAGAGACAGGGATAGGTTTGCATAAGTACCTACAAACCGTTGCCCTCACACTGCGGAAAGTTACGTTGCCCTTGAGTGTCCCTGTGAGCTGCGGGTACTTGCCCGTTTTCACCTCCAGGAAAGGTTACTTCCAAAGTCGAGGATTTGCCCACTGAATGCTGGTCGCACACCACAAGCAGGCCGAAGCCCAAAGTACCACAGACACAGGTAGGTTAGAGATTATGATGTACTTCCATCTCTCCTAGAGCTAAACACCCCTCCATCCTGGATAAAGGAATGTCACTGGGACCCGATGCCCAGTCGACCATGTCTGTGGCCAACTTGAAAATGCCGATACCAACACGGAGCATTTACCTCCCCTCTGGGGGCTAGGTATTTCACCTCCCAGGACGAGGCTACTTCCAAAGTCGAGGATATGCCTCACAAAATGTCAGTCGAACACAACAGGTAGGACTCAGTCACAACCACAGTTACAGGTAGTTGAGGAGAGGCGGAATTAACGGCGTCACTGAGAGCTAAACACCCCCCCCACCCTGAATGGAGGGAATGTCACTGGAGGCTCCCCCTAAGGGGCTGGCGCTTACCAGTCGTCCATAACTGTGGTCTACCTGAAGTGCCGGGTCTGACACCGGGCAGTTACCTCCCCTCTGGGAGAGCTAGGGTCCGCGTGGTCGCCCAGGCCACGAACCCACGCAAGCGTGAGCCCCCTGCGGTTGATATACTAGGAATAACTATCAATTAGATTTAGCTTTTGTAAGATTGGAAAAAACAAAGAGCAGCCACATATGTATGAAGATACAACTATTCAATAAATGGCCAAAAAAGGCATGGATTGTACCCTTTAAACAATTTGTTTCTATTATAAAACAATGGCTTAAGGAAAATGTTTTTTATTCCATAGACGATTATCTGGCCTGTGATATTAGTTCCCTATGTTTTTAGAACATCAATGTTAATATTAATATATTTAAATATTTAATTGTTATTATATTTAAAGATTTTATTGTTATTATATTTACAGATTTTATTTTTGATCATTGACATGTAAATTGTTAATTTATTTATTTTAGAGTTAATTATGTTTAACTGTTATTTTTTAAAGAGTGATTGCTACTCACTTGGTGCATTCTTGCTGTTAGGCCTACTCTAACAGGAAATTAACTGTATGTATTATTAGAAAAAAAAAAGAAAAAAACTTTGACGATGTCTATTGTAATACTTGTATTGCTTAGTGACAAATAAAGATTTTGAATATTGAAAAGTATGATTCATTTATGAAATGTCTTGTCCTTATTATTAGCACACCAGTTTTTGATTTTTAGTGAGAATTCAATTTTTTTTCACTCAATAAGTTCTCTCTTATAAAAAAATTGAATTCTCACTAAAAATCAAAAACTGGTGTGCTAATAATAAGGACAAGGATATTTAAAGTAGATAGTTGTATTTTAAAGACAAAGTTATATCTGTGAAATAAATTTTTTCAGCTGGTGAAGACGAGGAAAATCGGAAAGCAACTTTTACAAGGTTAAGCAGCGACGGAGATTTCCAGATTTTTATGAATAACTTGCACAAGGCTGTCTCTGCCCCAATGGTGATTATTGCTTGTAAACATAAATTTATATTGCAATGATAGTTTCTTCAAGTGTCAATTGTGTTGTTAAAAATGGTATAGGGGTAAAAGCTAGAACTTTGGTCCTGGACCACCAGATGACAGTAACCGTCATGACTTCCTACATATTATTGGTATGTTATAAAGATTGAAATCCATATTATGTTTCCTCAGCTATTTAGGTATTACAGGTATTTTTTGTTTACCAAAGTTTAGATGTGATACATACCAAGTTTTTTCATAAATTCACAGGATCAGGTTTGGAGCCATCCCAAACACGAACGCCTCGTGCAGATTTTGAAGGATCATTTTTGTCAAGCGGAACAGCAAGGCACTGACACCAAAGTCATTATATTTTGTCAGGTAATCATCTATCTATCTTCTACTATTTTTATAATAACAGATAATTTATCTCTATAACATCCCCTTTTCACCCACCCTAACCAATTTTTACATTTCAGTTGTCATTTTAAAACTTGTGGTGATTATGATAACAAAGTTGTTATGTGACGACACCAAAATTGATCGATTCTTCATACCAAAACCGATACATAAAAAATCAATTCTTAATTCTCGATACTGAAACAATTTTTTTACCAAATTTTCTGAATGGATTTTTTTAAATACGGGGTTTTAAAAGCCCTGTATTTTTGGCCTTCCATAAAGTCACTTTGGAGTAGTGAGATGTTTTTAAGTTAAAATAGAAATTAAAGTTAAAGGTAAATTCAGATATTTTTAAGATATCAAAAAGAAAATTTTACTATAATCAGAGGTATGTCAGCCTGAGATTTTTAACCAAGCCAAACTCAAGGTCATGATCATCTTCCACGGTCTTGTAGAGATAATCATCGTTTCCCGCAATAGCGGCAAAATTCTCATAATTACTTGCCAGTGCTGGAAATTTCTGATCATCTCCCACGACTGTGTAGACATTATCATTATCTCCCGTCACTGAAATGTCGTCATCGAAATGTGCGATCGTGTGATCTCCGCAGATGTGACGGGTATCAAAATCAACATCAACTGATGAATTGTAATTATAAAGGTTATTTACTTTGGGGCTTTACACCTGTGGTTTATTTCTGGAGGGCACTTTCAAAGGTCCAACGTTGCTGACCAAAATTTTTGATAGTGATAATTTATTTGCACATAACATACAATCTTGTGAAAATCACATGTACAATCAAGTGCTTCGTCTTGATTTCTTAAAAATTGTTATTGTGAGTCATTAATTATTCTGAAACGTAAATTTGTATAAAAGGTTTGAATGTGAATCTTAATTTAACAGCTCGTTCCTTCAGTTGGATTATTAACCACAGCCAGATTGTAAGGAGTCAAAACATTTAATGAAAATTGATTTTAATTTTAAATATGCATATTTTATTTATATGGTTTTAAGCTGATTAAGGTTGTGGTAGGTAAATCACTCTTTACTGTATAGAACTATAGATCTATAATAGAAATATTGAGAATTATAATCCATTGTGATAGCCCTGATAGTGCAATAATGATTAAAAATGGGTTGTTACAACACATGTCATTCAGTTCCAGAAGTGGTTTGGCGAGATGCGATCGTCAAACACCTCAGTCTAGGGAATACATCAAATCAAAGTATTTACTTAATCAAGCAGATTTAATGTATTATTTATTATTATTAATCATGTTTTGTTTCCAGTACAGAGTAGTGGTCAGTGAGTTGTATGAGCTGTTGCAGAAAACTCATCCTCTCATCAAACCAGTCATGTTCATCGGACAAGGAGTGGGGAAAGACAGGAGTGGCCTGCCTCAAAAGAAACAGATAGAGGTTAGAGGTTGTGTTCACTATCAAGTACGGGTTGGGTTTATTACAAGAGCTGACCAGTGGTTGTTAATGAAATTCTTGAAATATTCTACAATTATTGCAAATAGAAGAAACTAAAATTTATAAATAGCATAGGGCAGTTTGTCATGTCTCAAACAATTTAAGTTCTTAAGGGATGAAAAGCTTAAAAAAGATTCTCAATCAAAAGATTTGTAAATATGGTTTGCAATGATAAAAGGTCAATTATAGGACAAATGAGTTGAATGATTAGTTACTGAGAAAATTCTTGCTATAGCCATGATCAGGTTAAGGATAAACATCCCCAATGCCGCAAACCTGCAGACAAAGTCAATTTTCATTTGTCCGATTGAAATTTTAATAAAATATTTCTTTAAACATGTCTGATTTATTCCCTATCCAAATACTAATATTAGGTTTAATGGGTAATTAGATTTGCTGCTACAGGGAAGGATGGGAATGTTGCTGGAAGTCAACAGTCCCGGAAGATCAAATAATTTATACCTGTGCCGCTAGGTCAAAAACTACAATGTTTGCAGTGTCTGTAGATCAAAAGTCCCAGTAAGTCAAATAATACAGTCCGAGCTAAAAACGTGGTCTATGTTAAAGCAATTGACTTATTGGGAATTTGACCTAATGCAACAGCAGTTTTAATATAACGAAATACGGTAAAATACAAGCTCAGTTTCGCTGAGTCAACAGTGCCGGAAGATCAAAAGCAATAAAAGTGAACGTCGATTCAGTGTAAAGTAGACCTCCTGCAACGCTTACTACACCAACAAAACTCGCTTTTAGTTACTTCGTGTTTTGTCATAATTAGAATAGAGCTAAAATTATCATATTTGGTACATAGCTTATCTATTAATGCTTCTTGCCAACTGTTTGGTCAACACTGTAAATAGGTAGCCTTTCGTCAAAATTTGTGGCATTAAATACCCGCAAGGACGATCTGAAAATTTCTGGTTATTATATACGTTTGTAAAAGGAGATCCATTTAATAGTAGAACTATTTTATGAGTTATAATGTAGTCTAAACATAAACTGTGTAAATGTATTACACCTCGGAAGGGTTGAAACCTGTCCAAACTATCATATATATTATTAAAACGTTAATGGGATTTTTTCACATTCTGAATCAACCAGTCGACGGATTTTCATTATTTTAGTGTTGAAAAAAGGATAATTTTGAGAACTAGGGAATGTCATAGTCATAAGTATAACTAAGGGACCCAGTTTTTTAGAAATTAAGTTTTAATTTTTAAAAAGTCTAGCAGCCGACGCTAACTTTCTAAGCCAGCTTTTAGTACAATATAATTTGCTTAACATAACAGCTGTAAACATTCAGCATTTGTGACGCAAATTCAGCATTTGGAAACCAATTTAAAGACATAGTTGACTTATTTATACTATGTGTAATGCTGACCATTGATACATTCAATTCTTAGGTATGAGGATGGCAGATTAATTAAATATGCATAGTAAAATAGTAGGATGTTCAAATTATTTTTTAAAGGAATCTTTGTAATCATCGATTTGTTTTAGTCCCATATAATTTGTTTTAACTAACGGCTGGTTGAATGTAATATTGTTCTATATAACTATTAGGTTTTTGGCGAATTTCCCATAAAGGGAATAAGCTATTACCGTTGTACTTATGGTAACACCTGGACCTGGAACCGATTTAATTTTTTGTTTTGAGGTCCCTAGAGGCCAAAAACACCATCTGTTCAAATTCATATATACAGGGTGATCAACTCAAGGAGGCCACCATTGGGAAATCGGAAACTGTAAGAATTAGAGAAAACATTAAATGGGGGACATTCCTTTATTTTTTGTGGAAGTTAAAAATAAGATTTTAGTTTTTTTCATGTTTTCGGATAGAAAATGCAATTTAAAAACTTTTTTAACCTTGACACTTTTTCGATAAACCCACTCGTTTAGGAGTACAGCCTATGGAAAAATTACTTCCGGTGTACATTTTACATCATGTAGCTCCTAAACGAGTAGGTTTAGAGCAAAATTGCAGGGAAGTAAATTAGTCTTAGAATTGCATCTACATTCCTTAAAAAAAATAAAAAGTTTTCCACTTTTCAAGTTTGCCGCCATTTTTAAAATATAATTCATATTTTAATGAATTTTATGGTCTTTTAGGAATGTGGATGCAATTGTAAGACTTTTTTACTCTTCGCATTTTTGCTATAAACTTACTTGTTTAGGAGCTACATGATGAAATATGTACACCGGAAGTCATTTTTCCATAGGCTGTAACTCCTAAACGAGTGGGTTTATCGAAAAATGTCAAGGATAGAAAAGTTTTTAAATTGCATATTCTATCCGAAAACATGATAAAATATAGGGTGTTCGATAAGAAATTTCAAATTTGGCCGCCATTTTGGAAAATGGTGGGTGAATTTCAAAAAACTAAAATCATATTTTTAACTGCCACAAAAAATAAAGGTATGTTTCCATTCTAAGTTTTCTCTAATTCTTACCGTTTCTGATATCCCAATGGTGGCCTCCTTGAGTTGATCACCCTGTATAGCCTATATTTATTTATTTATATATATTTTCCCGGGGGGAACCCCAGGACCCCCCAGGCCCCCGGTGACCCCCCCAAAATATATGTCTAGGACCGCCCTTCTCTTCTTTACCTATAAAACACATGGGATACAGCCTTTCTTCACTGATCACGTAATGCGTGATTTTCTATAAAGTCTTGGAAAAATAAAAGGTAAAATAGATAGAATACAGGTGTAGGCTACTGTATGTGGTTTACACACAAATATTCATCAAACTGTGTGATATTTTGTTATTACAATGAACAATTTGGGAGTATCGTATTGTTTAAGTCGATGGAAAATCTCTGTTGATCCTGTTTTACAAGCAAACCAAAAAGATACAGTAGTCACCACTCTATGCGACATATTCTAACCAGAAAATTGTAATCGTATGATTCCATAAGCATTGGTAGGATTTCAAAGTACTACATAAACATTATTTCAAGGGTAATAACAGTCACAATTTCCGCCGACTTTAAAAGAGTCAACTAAAATATTATACTAATGGACACACAAGTAATGGAACAACTAATGGAACTCACGATGTACATATAACAGTTCGATATAAGCATTGAGTATACACGTCAGTGGATAAGTGTATACCCAATGATATAAGCAACGGTTCTTGCAATTTATTGCTTATTGTTTTTTAGAGTTGTTTTCGGACTAACTCTGTTTTCGGACTTACTCACACTCGTATAAGGTTGTCCACGTTTGTCATTGATAATGTAGCCATGTTACATGGTTACACCCGTTGTCACGAATATGTTTACAAGTTTTCCGTCTGTTTTTGAATAGCGATACATTTTTTCACATACTTAAGAACCACCTGATTTCGTGCATTACATGTTCGTCTCAATTTTATTTGCTTTAGTAGGCATTCTTTTGGTTGATGAGGACTTCAATCGGTCCTTTCAATGATTGCTCATGAAATATAGTACTTTGTCCATTAATTTTTATTGTTTGGTAAAATGGATTAAATTATCCAGCAAACCCAAATTGAAATAGTAAATATAGTATTTCAAACAAATCAGTAACATGTTAATAATGTAGCCTACGTTATTTCCTTGAATTGCATAACAGCAATTAGTTGGGCTGATCCTAATATAAATAAATCAATATGTTCTTCATAGTCATAACATGGGTTCATAACATGAGCCGCTGGGGCTGAGCCCAAGGGATTTAAAAATGTAAGGTTAGTTTGCAAATGTACGTGACACGCTCTTTCTAATGAGACATGAATGGTCAAAATCGCCTAAGAAATGCGGAGGAGTTCAACGGAAAAATTTCGGGTTGGCGTTATACAGTATGGTTGAAAAGTCCTGGATTGGCTATATTTTTTTAACAATATAGATAAAGTAGCAGTGAGACTTGGTATATCAATAATAGCCATAAATATCTACTGTATTAAGCTATTATCACTTTTTTATCCCTTAAGGGGGATGGACCACAAAGACTAAGACAAAATTCTTATATAATTTTAATACTATTTTACCTGTTTTTGAAATGGCGACCATACAAATGTATGCATTTTAAGCCAAGTATGAATGGAGATGAGTGTGTGATGAGTGGAGCGATCTTGTTGTCCTGTTAGTGACTAAGGCCGACGTAATCCTTAGACACAGCTGTTAATTAATAGTCCATACAGTCAATTAATAGCAGCAGAGGTCAAGTTTGGTAGGTATCAAATTAAAGGTTTTATTCATAAAAATACATTACCGCAAACCTAAACTCAAACGATGATTATGATAATAATGTTAATGATGTAGCTAAAACGTATCGTTTGAAATTTAACAGCTGAAAATAAGTGAAATAGAAAAGGTTTTGGTTAAATCCATCAAATTGTAATTGGACACTAGTAAGTACTAGTGCACTTGTTGCTACCTCCCCCCTTCGGTTTCATGTATTCCTCTCAATCAGTTCAAACCTAGGAGGATTAAACATTAATGTTAATTAATGTTAAATCCTCCTAGATTCAAACCTGAAACACCCAGATCGAAACTCGCCTGTCGTTATTTTACCATCGCCTTTTTTAGCGAATTTCCCATATAGGGAATAAGCTATTACCGTAGGTCTCATGGTAAGACCTAGACCCGGGACCGATTTACTTTTTCGTTTTGAGGTCCCCAGAGGCCAAAAACACCATCCGTTCAAATTCATATATATATATATTTATATATGTGTCCGTTAGCGCGATAACTCGAGCAAAATTAATCCGATTTTGATGAAATTTGGTACAAACGTGTAAACCAACATTTATTCGAACGAGTTTGCGAACCAGCATAATCGGACCATGGGATCAGGGGTTTATGGGGGGTTTTATGGGGTAAAAATGGGTTTTTCTCATTTTTGACCCTAAAAACTTCAAGTTTCTAAATTTCTCTCTAGACCATTTTGAAGAGCTTAAAAAAACAAATAATTTAGTATATTGAAGTGTTTTTGAATGTTCATTGACTACAGAGAAAATTAAAAAAATTGTAAATTTAAAATTCCCATGTTATTCTTATGGAGAATAAATAAACTGTTGTAGTTTGTTTGTTTATGGATATATTTTAATCAAATTTGGCAATTTGGTTTATTTCATACTAAGCTATCAATATTTCAATTGAAAAAACACACCTCAACATCTTCCCCGTAGCAGCAAACCTAACTACTCACTAAAATTAATGTTATTTAAATAGGAAATAAATCTGAAAATGTTTAGGGAATATTTTAAAAGAAATCAAGCCGGGTAAATGGAAATTCGCTTAGTATGCAGGTTTGCTGCGACGGGGGTATTTTAAATATATTTTTCAAAAAAGAAATATTATATAGATTTACTTTGGATTTTAAAAATGTTAATGTTTTATTTTGTTAAAGATTTATGGTGATACGTAAATATTGTGGTGTAGTAAAGTATATTATATTGTAGTTAAGTGTTAAATTTTGAAATTTTAGGGTGAATCGAGATGAATCGTTGTTTATAACATGCGTCTCTCCTACCTTAACACATACCAAGTTTCATAAACATCGGTTGGAAAAGTGCAAAGGTAAATATTTGTATGTAAAAAATACAAAATGGTGGATATCTGGTTAACGAAATGATTTTGGAAAAAATGTTAGCCTTGATTTTCTGTTTATTTTGACCCAAGGAATTACTAGGTAAAGTATATCCCCGCTTATTTTAACACCCTGTTTATGATGTATTCTTATAAGTGAAAAATGTAAGCTGGTAATAAAGAAAGATGTTTTATAAATAATATGAATGTACTGGTGATCTGTATATTCATCTTTTTCTTGTCCTTAGAACTATAAATTAAAAGTCCACTCAGCAGTCGCATCGTACGATGTAGTTCTTTCCATGCGTTGCGAAATGCTAAATTTGCCGTCCTCTTCAACCCAAGTTATCTACTGAACCACTGATTGTAAAAAATTCAAAGAAATATATTTTACGCATCACACTTTTAGCTACAACATTGCCACAAACAAAACCTCTCTAACCCAAAAATAAACAAAAATCTCGCATGCTAACTTTTTCATGTTAGAAATCACGATTTAAAACTATTTCACCATACAAATCAATTTTTATTAATTAGATCGGTAAATAGTTTAAAGTTCCAACAAAATAGTCATCGAGTAGGACTAACCAAGAAGCTCTGTGCCAAATTTCAAAATTTTAGCACAACTTTAAGTACACCAAAACACGAAATTATTGAAGTCATGCGTCGAGAGGACTATCGTTGTTTTTAACAGATTATACTTTTGACCTTCCGGCACTGTTGACTCAGCGAAACTGAACTTATATTTTATCTTATTTCGTTATATTAAAACTGCTGTTGCATTAGGTCAAATTCCCAATAAGTCAATTGCTTTAACATAGACTACGTTTTTAGTCCGGACTGTACTATTTGACTTACTGGGATTTTTGATCTACAGACACTGCAAACATTGTAGTTTTTGACCTAGCGGCACAGGTATAAATTATTTGACCTTCCGGGACTGTTGACTTTCTGCAACGCGTCCGGAAGGATATTAAATAAATAAATTTCCCAAATGTTATCCATTTACTACCTTATCCAACGAACAAAGAATCTAACAAAATCATAGACCAAGTAAAGTTTGGTATTGAAGCATTCAATTTACTTGTGCCGTTGAAATAGGATCTTTTGATTTTCAGGTGATGAAGGGATTTCGCCAGGGCATCAGCAATGTGCTTATAGCCACTTGTGTAGCTGAGGAAGGACTGGACATCGGCTCAGTGGATCTTCTGGTGATGATGGAGTGTCAGCGGTCACCAGTCAGGCTGGTACAGAGGCTAGGTCGTACAGGACGACACAGGCAAGGGCGGTGTGTGGTGTTGCTGACTTGCGGCAAGGAGGTGCAGGTAGGTCTAACTGTTACATATCAACTGTCAACTGTGTGCTAGCTATATATTACAGAAGAGTTTTGACCAACCTATTTTTTGTTACTTGACCTTTTGTAATACAATACTTTGTCCACATGATCTGATATTAGGAGTATTTTGGTCCTCGATATTTTTTGTTGGGTGAAATCAACAGTTGGATCAAAATTCATGTTTCTGGTCCCTGGACTATATGGTTAAGACAATAATAGGTTTTGCCCAACCCGCCATGTTAAACTTCCGTATCCCAAGCGTGATGTAAACAACTTGTTTACTTCACTCGGTGAAGTATGTTTCAAAAACTCACTCGGTGAAGTAATGAAACCTATTCATATAACATTGAGTGCTCAACTTAATAAAATATACCTCTATGAAGCCAACGACCTTCAACGCTAGAAATCAGCTGTGCGCTTGAATGTTATTGTTATGCTTTAAAGTATTTTCCTATCCTAGCTTTTGTTTGTAAAAGAATGTTACTGTTAGAACTAGAAGATAAGTGAAATGGATAATGAAAAATATTGTACGTAGCGCCTGTATATTGTCGGGTCAGGTAAAATCTTGTACGTTACACGTTAAGCAAGAGCGTGTTTACGTCACTTAGGTGAATTATGCAACTCGCTTCTGCTCGTTGCACAACATTCACCTGCGTGATGTAAAAACGTTCTTACTACACTTGTAACGTAAATGGCTATTACATACGTCAAATAGTCTCAACAATCTGATCAAGAGTTTGGTTTGGGCTGCAAATAACTTAGTGGACTAAGTGAAAATGAGATAAGTATCAGAGCTTGCTGCGACCGGTTTAGGAATTGAGAATCTACTGTAATTCTTTTACATTACAGTATTTGACAACTTGGTCAGTTAATGTTCAAGTAATTTTCTTTGTGAAAAAAATTATGTATTAATATTGACTTATACATGTATGTATGTTCACAGAAATTTAATGAAGCGATGGCTACAAGAAAGTCTTTCATTTCAATGATTGAAAATTCAAATGTGTTGAAATCTAGTCTCGTTAGAGAAGAGCCACAAATGGTACCTCCACGTAAGTACCTACTGTTTTAGTCATAAATACTGAAAATTGATTGTTTCATTGTATTGTTTCAGTATTTTGCTTTTCTCGTATTGGTAATCTTGTTTTTCATTCCTCTTAAACTTTGCTCTCATATGCAGCTTATGAGGAAATAATATTTTTTTATTCCATAATGCAGCGTTTGCATGCGTTGCAGCGCAGGTCTACAGTAGGATTTTTACTCACTAGGAAGTAAAAAGCATTTTTAGCCCCTAGGGAGTAAAAAGCATTTTTAGCCCCTAGCGAGTGAAAATAATTTTTTGCCCCTAGGTAGTAAAAATCAGCTGTTATCAACTCAGTTGTCAATTTTGATTGTAAACAAAATTGCATGTATTGAAAGTATGTATCGATTGTTTAATAATTATAGTTAATTGTTGCCTTATTATAAATAGTTTGACTTTTTGATGGTATAATGAACACTAACAATGTCATTGTAGACAAAACAATTGAATCACTTACTAAACAGTTGCTTGTTTCCATCAGCAAATTAAATTGAAAACAAGTTAGAAGTAGTTTTGAGACGTTATCGTAAATGAAAACTATTTTAGTTTTCTAACATAGTTGTTTAAAATAATGGTGCAACATGATGAAAAATATAGTTAGTTCATCAAAAAGGGCAGAAAGGGTCTTTTCAACCCTCGCTCATTTTCCAACGCTTGGGTCAAAAAGAGTAACTTTAGGCCCTAGTGATGAAATATACTAGCCTATTACTATTTTCCAGTTGATGCATGAAATAATTTTACATATTACAAAACTAATATTATTTTGCCTTTAATTGTGTACATAATTTATATTTTTTAGACATAATGCCGAAAATGCAATTGGTCCACATCAAGGTCCCTGAACGTATAACGCCTGCTAAAAAGAAGAAGCAGGCTGACATCCGTCAAGCACTCTTAAACAAGATTAATGAATGTGATGAAAAAGACCCTGAAGAATCTCCTTTCCTAGATCCAGACCAACTGGCTGAAGTGGAGAAAGAACTTGGTGTAACCCAAGTCAAGTTTGATTCAGTCACTTTTAAAAATCCGGAATACCTTTTCAAAAGAATCAATGGTGAGTTTATGTTAGACATTTATTAGGTAATATTTTCCGTCTTTTAAATTATAAGTTCAAATATATCGATTTTCGTACAAAGATGCATTCTTTTACTTTATAAAAATACTTGTAATTAAAGTTTCATACCTTGCAAATGTGTTTGTGAGTTGTTATTTTAAGTTACTATTACTGATGGTTTCATAAAATTAAAAAATGATTGTTTCAGACGCACCAATGCAACCTGATGAACTGTTCAGCGCAACGTTCACTCGACAATCGGAGTACAACGATTGGAACAGAGTTCTGCACCAGACGTACCTCGTGTTGCACTCCTCCGACACGGAGACTCTGTGCCATCTGCTACACAAGTCGGAGTCCATGCTACTCAACAATCACACAGGCATGTCCGGGAAAACCAGGAGTTATAATTGAATTTTTTGTACCAAGAAACAACCAAGAATTATGTAGACATTTCTAAATTTCCCCAGGATAATTAATTTTAGTTTATGGTCATAGCGAGATTGAAAACATCTTCCAGAGTCAGAGCAATATCGTGAACTTTTTCCCGTGTTCACAATAAAATCGAGAACAATTTCCGCTGTCACAGCAACATCATTGACCATTGTCTCTTACAATGGCAGCAAAAAAGTCAATTATTAAATTGCACTTTTTTGCAAACACTTCCCACGGTCACGAAAACAAGCGCTCACCTTTACTCGACTCGAACTTGGCCTGTATTGATCCCTCGGGCCAACTTTTGACCTGATCCGACCCGAACATATCAGGCACATGCAAAGCCCAATTAAAAAGGTACCCTTGGCAACCGGGAAAACCAATGTGTGAATTTTTCCAGTGGTTTTACGGCCACCCTCGTAAACAGTGATAACTTACTTACTGATGTGGCCACTTATACTCCAGTTGGTACTTTGACACATCCTATCCAGGACATTTGGTCCGCATCAACTCCCCTCAGAAATTTTAAGCCCTAACTTCATATCCCTCTGAACCTGGCTCTTGCTTTGGGTCTTCCTTCTTGTCTTCCGCCTTCAGCCACAATTCTCGATATATGCTTTTACTATTGAGTTCTCTTCTTTCCTCAAAATGTGTCCAGTGCAACTAAACCTCCGGTTTTTAATCCCTCCCACTATATCTCAATCTTTGTATGGAAGAGAGACTTTTTTGTGGATAGGATAAGCTTTTTTTATGATTAAGATTTATCAACAAGAACGACATACCAAATAGTTATGCAACACTTTGATCCTAGCAAGCGTTGATAATGCATTTTTAAAATCACTCAGCCTGCACACTTTTTTGAAATTGGGATACTTTAAAATTTGTTTTATTTACTTTTGGAAAGAGGTTGAATAACCAGTTACTTTACTGATGTAAGTTACTTTTTCAATTAATAATAAAAGATTATTAACCAACCAGGTCAAAATGTATATAAATGGCAATTTGATTGTTTTATTGAAATTATTTCTCATTTTTTTATTTTACAGATCTCAACTCACAGCAGTTGAACTGCAGCAGTTTAATCCCTCAGAAAAAGGAAGCGAAGAAAGGCAAAACCAAAACTGATAATGTAGCGAAGAAAAAGAAAACTGAGAGAGCAGAGAAGCTCGGAAGAGATATACGAGAGTGTATGGCTCAAGCGGCTGACAAGGTGCGACTGACACAGGATAAAATAAGCAGAGAAAATGAGTTTGTAAGCCAAGGAAACGCAGCATCTGATATTGTTGAAACTTTCCCTGACCCTGTAGTTCTGGAAATATCAGATACTATGTCAGTAGAGGCTATCAAAGAGAAGAAAAACACAAGCAATCAGGAACTAAAAGAACTCAACTGTGTTTTCTGTGACAAAGCTGTGAAACTTTCAAGGAACTACTTGTTAGCAAAGAAGTCTTCAGTTGATGACAAATTATTGTATGTTAATTTAAGAAAAAGTGAATCATTTGTTAAAAGTAAAAGTTTATCAAAAGAAGCCATCGAAAGCATTAATATTGTTGAAATGTTCAAGGAAGAATCAAATTTGGTAGATAAAATTAAGAATAGTCTGCAACGACTTAGGAACAAAGTGAACAAAATTGGTGAAAAGGCCTCCTCTTCTTTGATTAGTGTGGATGACATTTTTGATACTGAAGTCAACACTTCACCAATATTAGATTCAAATTTGGTTCAAAATCGAAGACCATCAGGTGACAATAGACATGAGGCAAAACCAGATGTTGAAGATGAGGATTTTTTCAACCTAGATGATCTTTTTAAAGAGGACGAGGATGTACATTTTCAATCTTTAACACAAAGTACAAAAACGTCAACTCCTATTAAAGTAAATGTCACCTTATCTAATGGAACATTTAATAAAAATAGTAATAACATTTCTGTATTTTCAAGGACAGAAAAATCCCAGCATGATAGTGTTCAAAAGAATTCCATGAGTAACAAGAATAACCTTCCAGTTGTAAATTCTGATCTTTTCTCCTCTCCTCTGAACTTGAATCCTAGTCAAGGTAAACAAGTGTTCAAAATTCCTCCGATGAAGCTGAAATCAGGACTATTATCAAGCCCACAGAGTGTAACTTGTGTTAACAACTTTTCTACTCCTGTGTCGCCAATTCTATCAAGCCAAAAAACTACAAACCAAAATCATACAATCTCACCTATTTTATCCAGTCAAGTTCTTCCAAGTCACGACTCGCTTTTATCACCAGTCTTGTCAGGACAGGTCAATACAAATAATCACAACTTATCACCAATTTTGTCTAGACAAATTACTTCTACGCCTAAGGTTGAAAGAAAAGTTTTGTTTAAAGACAATTCTAGTAAAGCTGACACCGAAACGTCTGAATTGTGCAAACCTCTGAAACCAGTTGGTAAATATTCAGATGCAGACTTAGCAGAGATAGAAGCTTTAAATATGTTTTCTGCTAGCCAGCTGTTTGATGATTCCAGTGAGGAAGAGAAAGAAGAGAAAGAAGAAAATTTAGATCAGTCGTCCATGTACACAATCAGCCAAATGGTTGCCAAAGTTTCCTCTTTAGCAGAAAAAATGAAAAACTCTGCAACAACTGTAGAAATTAGTAATCACAATCAAAAACAAGCTACAGGCTCTTCAAACGCAGGTTTTGATGACAGCGATGATGATTTTATATTTGATCAAATCAATTTAGATAACTTCTCTTGTCAGAATCTTTCCACCAAAGAACAGTTAAACAACAAAAGTAAAGATGGTGATTCCTTTAAAATTACAATGCGCAGTTCAAGTAAGCAAAATTTGAGCGATTCTTTAGCAATTGAAAAGAATGAAATTGAAAAAATAAAGCAGTTGAAAAATACAAATATATCACAATGTCTAACCAATATGTCTACTAAAGATGTGTTGAGCTCAAAACAGCCCGAGAAAGACTTTTCTCAGAAAAATGACGAGTCGTTTATTTCTTCAAGATGGTTAACATGTATGAAAACTCCATTGAAAACCAACCAGTCCAAATCAAAATCAGTCTCATTTGCTTCCGAAACTAAACACTTTTCTTGTGATTCAGATTCTGATAGTGATGTGTTTGAAAGCTCAACAACTAAAAATAAACCCAAAGTAACAAATGTTATGCCTAAACAGAGAAAAGGAAAATCTGCAAAACTGGTAAGTGTTCTGAACTTTTAAAAATATTTATACTCAATTACCTTTATTAGATAGTTAGCTGTTGTCTCATTTATCTTATTTGTTGTTCAAGAGCTTCAATGTCGCTGATCTTTTGTAGGATGTTTCGAAGGTATTTTAACTGATTTCGATCCTGAACTGTTTGAAATATATTTTTCCTACAGTTACCTAACAATGTACATGTTCTCTCACTGATTTGAGAAAGCAAAGTGGCCGATTCGCTCATCAGTGAGACAATGTTAACATTGTCTCACTCTAATTACTTTGTCTCATTCCAGATTTGCAACGTGAAGGCACGGAATAGTGAGCGCGTAACATGCAGGCAACGTCGTATGCGCGCGAAATACGTTGGCAGCACTGGCTGTAAATCAGCTGGTCAGCTGTTGTACTGTTGTATTTGTAACTTCACATTAAATGTTATATTAAAAGTTCACTTCTGTGAAAAATAAGGTTATGTTTCTTCACAAATTTATTTGTTTTATGGTAACTGTAGGAATAGTATAATGTGCAACTCGAGTGCAAAGTACAATTGCCTCACTCGAGAAACCATTCCTCACTCGCCTACGGCTCGTGAGTAAGGGTTTCTCTCGAGTGAGTCAATTGCTCACTTTTCTCACTAGTTGCACAAATAACTATTTTCCTACAGTTGCCTAACAATGTACATGTTCTCTCACTGATTTGAGAAAGCAAAGTGGCCAATTCGCTCATCAGTGAGACAATGTTGAATGTTAACATTGTCTCACTCTAATTACTTTGTCTCACTCACTCCAGATTTGCAACGTGAAGGCACGAAATAGTGCCGCGTTCAACATGCAGACAAGGTCGTATGGGCCCGAAATACGTTGGTAGCATTGGCTGTAAATCAGCTCAGCTGATCAGCTGTTGTACTGTTGTATCATTAAATGTAATATTAAAAGTTCACTTCTGTGTAAAAATATGTCACCTTTCTTTACCAATTTATTTGTTTTATGGTAACTGTAGAAAAAATATAATGTGCAACTCGAGTGCAAAGTGCAACTGCCTCACTCGAGAAACCATTCCTCATTCGCCTACAGCTCGTGAGTAAGTATTTCTCTCAGTGAGTTAATTGCTCCCTTTGCTCACTAGTTGCACAAATAACTATTTATCTTTTGCTTCATTCTATTCTAATTGATCTAAGTAGCATTATTAGTCATTACATTGTAATTCTAGTTAATATTTCAAATTTCTACATAATTTATATATTAAACTTATATTAAACTATATATATTAATAATAAACTTGTCTCAGATATTAATGACTAAATTATAAGCAGATATAAAACTTGGCTACTCTGTTTAAAAAGACTGTAAAAATTTAAATCAGTCTTATGAGATAAGGAAATGAACACTAGTACAGTACTAAAGATTTCTTTACAAAACTTGGATCAGTGTGGAAATAAGACATTTTTTAAATCCAAGTACAGGGTGCGGCAAAAAAACCCATCTATTTTATGTAGCGCACTGTTCAGCAACAGGTTGTCTGAGAGTAGTGGGGTTATGCCCATTGGAAAGCCTACACGATGCCATTATCTGTGGTCATAGAGAAGAGGTCACCTGAACATGGTGCGTTTGTTATCGAGTCGAATTTAAAAACGCGTTTATTCAGTGTTTTTATTCAGTCATTGCAACTCAGCAGCAGTTCCGTGCATTTTTTTTGGCGCGAAGTCGATTCCGTAAGTGGCACAATCAAGGTGTGTTACAAACTTTAGAACAATAGCTTCTATGTTCAAAAAAAGCTGACAAGCCGTCCAAAGTCAGATCGGACGTCAGACAACTAACATTCGATATAGTCCGTGCTGCTGTGGAAAACAGTCCTCGTAGGCACGCCCGAAAACAAACATCTGCTTTAAACATGTCTGACCGCTCGGTTGAACTAGTTTTGAGGTTCGATCTTAATTCTTATCCCAATGTGTATTAATCTGTTCAATTTTGTTGATCATCCATACAGATAATCGCACCAGAACCTCTCCATATCGACCTAATTTAAAGAATGAATGGAAATCCCGCTGAGTTGCAATGACAGAATCATCACTTTTTAAAATGACTTGATAACAAACGTGCGTTGCTCAGGTGACTCTATGACTACAGAAAATGGCATCGACTAGACTTTCCTAAGAGCCTTTAGACGACCTGTCGCTGAACAGTGTATTGCGAAAAATGGATCGGTTTTTTTGCTGCACACTCTGTATAATGAAACTACGCTTTTACATTATATGTATAGTTTATCTGCATTAGTTTTGTTTCACATGCAATCCAAGGAGTATGAAATACATCCAACATTTCGGTAAGACAACTTATATACAAAAACTATTTCTTTGTAAGTTGACAGGGGGAAATGTTGTTAAATACAAATTAATGTCAAAAAGATTATCTGAATATTTGTTAGTTTTAGAAATGTAATAAAGGGGCTGTACACGATTCTTCCGATGCAAATGTCTGTTAGATTGGTGTAATATTACTGTATTTAGTCGTCAATAGGTTTAGTTAATTATTTGTTGATACATGAACACGAGAGGCTACAGTAAAACTTAGCCATTGCCAACATAAATTTTTTAACTAGATTCTGATATTTAATAATTTTTTTGCAGTTTTGTACCATTTATTTCATTCCATTTCACTCATATTTTGTTGATAGGTTATCGTCTTTTTCTTATAATTTTGCAAAAAGTAAATTTGCTGGAAAACCCTCAGTTGATGCACAGGCCCGGCTTATTCTGTAAACCATTGTACTAATTTAGTTAAATATAAATTTGATGTTTTAATCTTATGTATTTTTTTATCAAGTAAGATTTGTAGGTACATGTTTTGTAATTGTAACTATACTGCTCGACTGAAGATTTATTCTGCAGTCTGTTACCTCAGCAATGCGTTTCTTAAACTTGAATTATAAGTATTTGCTGTAATTGATCAATACAACTACCAGGTTTAAAATTTCTGTCATATTTATAATTCAGAGAAAAATTAGATAAAACTGGACACACATAGAGTAATTACTCCCAGTTCTCTACGCCATTTCTACGTAGTTGTAGTATTGTATGTCTGTACAATAACGCTTATTTTCTATGGTTAAAGGGAGCTAGAGCTCAATTCCTGGAGTTGGAAGCAGACGTTAGCATGACTGGAGGAGTGAGGTGCTCTAGTGATGAAGAGAACACGAGTGGACTTGACGACTTAGAGGCGAGCTTCATCAACGACATGACAGAGGTTGTGAGCACGTCAGTTGATCAGACAACCATCGACATTCAAGCCAAGTATCTTGAATCTGTCAAGTGAGTTAAACTTGAAAACCTTTTAAAGCTATGCTCCTGTGTTTTGTGGGTATTATGTCACATATTTTTTTTTTTGTGTGTTTATCTACGCCTGTGGCATTCATTTACGTTTTTAAAGTAGGTAACGGTTCAATCCCTGTTCTTGTTACTTTACTATCTAACATAGACTTTTTGTTAGATAGCATCGATCAATTGATAACACGACAAATGGCATCTGGTCTGGAAACAATCTCGCTTCGAATAAAACCAACGACCATTAGATTTGAAGGCGAGCACTTTAACCACTTGGCTACACACACAGACAATTGGGAATAGTTTGCTACTTTACTCATTTAGGGAATTGCTTTTTAGCTGTAGAGTGCACACTAGAGTGCACTAGAGTGTAGTTTGTGCTGTATGAGGGTGTTTTTTTAAGTAAGAAGTAATATGCGTATAAATCCGTATTTCGCTAATACGTCGTGTCGAGGGCAGTGAGCTAGTTTAGTGGTGGAGCGCGGGGCTTAAAATACTGCCCTCATATTTGTTGAACTAATACAATGACAATTGGAAGTTTTATCATTAGTTATATTTTTAGGATTCCATCCCTAATTTAGTAAGATTTTTTTGCAGTTTTGTTTGCAGAGTTATAATATCTAATAAATAAATGGTACACACAATACTTGATTTAGTTCTTTGCAAGAGTACTTCACTTCAACGTTTACTGTGTGAACCGGCATTTCTGATTCCAAATCTTTTTTCCTATTTTCATAATTTGTTATTAATGTTATTTTAACTATTTTTAGAAGTCCAATGAAAAGACCCGGTTTCAAAATACCGGCCATGACTGATTCCATCTTGGAAAGAGATGTTTATTCACAAGCTGTTCCTGAATATGACGATGATTCATATGAAAATGTAAGTTATTTTAGTTTTGTACATACAAAATAATGTAATGAAACATTGGCATGAATTTCTGTGTTATGAATGATAATGATATGAATGTTTGATGATAATGAAACTGTGATTAGTGTTGGCACGAAATCTCGTGGTTATTCTCGGTCAGCAGTCATCAATTGCGATACAAAGTGGAATTTTTCACTTTTATGAGTTTGCAAAACTTATCAACATTTTTATTTATTCACTTTGAATGTTACCTGAACCTGAACGAAACTACAATTTTGAGGCAAAGTTTGTTGTAATTGAATTGTAATGTTTAGGAAATGTTAAGTATAACGACAAATCTTATATTTAGAAGTTTAGTTATCAAGTTGTTTTTTATTGTTTCTTAGTCATCATTTCAATAATTTTTTGTTATTTTGTACTGCTGCAGTAATATTTTTTAGACATAGTGTCTTCTTTAAACTCGATGAAATATACAGAGCTTCAACATTTTCCTCTTTTTTTTAAGTTTTTTTTTTTTTTTTTTTGCTCACTACCATAACTAACTATTTTGCATGTTGATCATATTTTCTCTTAATAGTTTTTTTAAAGGTGGCTTTCTAGAATTTCACACTAAGAAATGCACTCTAAATTATGCCATAGACCTATCATGTGTATTAATCGTTTAATCCCTACTAGATTATTGCTTTCAAATTACTAAAAAAAATTAATATAACAAATCTTAAGTCTCATTTCGACTAAACTCTTTGCTAGGACTCTTTTTGCTGTGATGCAAGCCAAATCCCCATTGAAGATGAACCTTCTGAGCTCGAAATAGCTGAAAGATTGCTGAAGCAAAAGAGAAAGACAAAGAAAAGAAAACGAAAACCTCGAAAGTCCGAATCAAGTAGTGATGATCCTAACAAGAGTATTAGCAACGTACTGAAGAAGAAAAGACTCCTTTCATCTAGTTCTAGCAGTGAGGATGTTGCTTGGAGTTGTGAAAGAAATAAGAAAAGGAAACATGTTTCCTCTCCAGAGTCCAGTCCTATAAAGGCACACCCCAAGAAAAGACATAAGAAAAAAAGAAAGGTTCAGTTATTGACGTCTTCAGATAGTGACAGTGATAAAACAATATTGTAGTTTAGTTTGTAAATTGCAGCTGTAAATATGTTATATTTGTATTTTTGTAAAATGGAAATGTTAATACTTTTGTACAATATAATTTGTTAATATGTTTAGTTTTTACACACTGTTATATATTTATAAAGTTACATACCGTTTCAATCATGTCTTTGGTTATTATAATAAATTTTTATTGTGTCAATTCAACCTTGTCTTTGCAGGATCAAAATTCATGAAAATTAAAACTGGTAGTGGCAGCAAATTTGCAGATTTTAAGCTGATTTTGAGTTAATTCAACCTGTTATGTATATATTCCAAATAATTAAGTTGTGGGCCAAAGATAAATTAATTTATGCTCTTAAGAGTCGGCAAGACCGCCAGCCATCTTGGATTGTCTGCCCATAACAGCAATGTTAATGGTTGAAGTTGAAGCATATTACGGTATTGTTTATTAAGATAAAAAGTTGCAAAATATATAATTTTAAAGCTATTGAAGCCGCGTATGTGATTTGCTATATACTTTTTTCATATGTTAATTATTATTATTTCGTCAAACTACATAAATATATTGACTCAAACAGTGATTTTTTTCAACCTCTAAAACAAAAGTTCTTAAAATCCGAAAAGCAGTTCACACGGAAAATATATTTAAGAATCACATAATATTTTATGCTCGGTAATCAAATTTACAGCGCATGATTAATATGCTTCAACGTGAACGCATGTTTTTGCTGATCTGCGCTAGGACAACCAATGTTTAGCCTCGCATCTGACAGTCTACCACAATGCCAAAGCATTGACTACTGCCTACTCTATTAATTTATCTTAGAATATTGCATCCCAGACATACTTCAATCGCTCAGGGATTTTAAATTTATTTTCAAACTCATTTTAATGCAAGATATAATAAATAGTACCTTATTTCAATAGTGATGTTTGGCTCGGAATCCAGATTGTTTGATGGCTGGCTTTAAGCTGTTGTGAATAACCTCTACAAATCTGGTAAAAAATATTTCAAGGGACTATCAAATTGATTTGAAGGCAAAGTAGTGCATTCAAATCGTCTCCCCTTAATTTTTAATTTAAACCAGATGGCTACGACATAGATAAAACATACTCCCTTAGTAGATTTATCATCCTATTGAACAGCTGAATCCAATTTTATTGTTGGTTCTGTACGGTGGACTGCAGAGGTCGTGTTTTTTTTTACAATTTGTTTCTTGTTATTTCAGTCATTTAAAACCTTGTTTAACCAAATAATACTATCTAATCATAAACAATAACTCATCCCCTAGTTATATAACCAAACAGTATAGTTCGAATAATGAAATGTACCTTAAAATAATAGAAACAGAATTTTGTCAACACTAGTGCCTATTGTCACCGTACATGAACTAGACATTCAAAATTTACAACGGTATGAGAAGTCTACTTGAGGTTGGTTAGTCTATGGTTAAGAGTACCAAATTAATAAAAAAAATACACCTTCTATAAAAAAGTTCTTTTATTCAATATTAATTTGGCAGTGACATTTACTCACTCCGCAATAAAGAGATCTCATTAATAACTTCAATAAACATGTAAAGTTAATACAAATAAAAACTTCACAAAGATACAATCTACAAACTATGGGCAGTATCACAATAAATGTAGAACAGAATATGTTTACACAATAACATACTGTAAAGAAAATCTACTCTGCTAGTGTATTGGAGCCGTTTAACAATTCAAGAAGTCCAACCCCTAACTATTTTGCATCTGTAATGCAAAAAAAATCCACAAACACTGCAAAGAGAGCTACAGACAATTACCTAGTCGACTTGTGTAAAAAAAATCTATGCTACAATTAACACAACAAACCATAAACACAACCAAGATCAACTTAGTTTTATTATACTGAAATAATGTTATACATCTATCCATACCAATTTCATTTTACCATAGTTATTTAAAATCTGGGATTCAGCTTCACAAAATATAATATTTTATTGAAAATAAAAATGTTTGTCTTTGATATAATAAAAAAATAACTACAGTATGTTTATAAGTTTTTCAAAAAATCATTACGTGGTTTTTTTTATGGAATTGTTCAATTCAGGCACATGAAAAGTCTGTAAAAATATTGCTAAATGTCTGAGTAAGGCCTTTCAGTACTGATTCCAAATGTTTTTACAATGAAAGTGTGTTACTTTTAAATATCTTTTCTGGCAAACAGCTATTTCTAAATATGTTTCATCATCAAATTTTTATTTAATTTGGAATCTTAACACATTCGCTGCGGGTGGCTCGGATTCGGGACACGCGTAGCGTCCTGCGCATGTGCATGTCCCGGGTCCGAGCCATCCAACCTTGTTAAACAAAAGCAGCCAGTATGAGTCTAGTGTTTGACGGAGAACGTTACTACTTGCTGGTCTGTAAATACAATAGAAATCTGTTTTTGCTGCCGCTCCTTAGTTCGGACGCGCTCCTCGTGTTTGGACTTTTTTATGTATTTAAAGGAGTTAACACCAAAATGGGCTCAGTAAATTCAAAGTACCCAGATGTTCTGATTGTGCTTTAGAATATTTGTTCTTTTCTTTAATTTTGTTTATTAATAATGCCTAAAAAATTGAGTACATCAAACACCATCTCCTTCCAATTGGCAATACAATTGGACCGGCTACGTTCTAAGCAGTGCTGCTATCTGTGGGTGTTTAGCGAACTACATCAACTCTTGTTATAAAGCAGGACATCACCGCACGTTATTTGCTATTCGTCATACCGAAATATGAAAGCCAATCATCTGGCAATCGGGTTTGTATGACGCTGCGGGCTGCGCCGCACTGGGGCTACGCCTGCCATTTCATGGGCCGCAGCGAATGTGTTAATGAATGATTATGATACAAATAGTAATTACCACTCAAATGAATAAAAAAAAAATAAAAAAGATGTTCAAATTACAACCAAAGCCCAGATGTCATCCTAGAAAAATGTCTTTCTCTAACAATAAAAGGTAACTAACTATCACTATCATCTTATGTACAACTTAATAAATTTTTCTGAGATGTGTTTGTGAATGTACTGTATCTTTAAAGCAAACCTTACCTTTTACTTGCCAACTATCAATTCTTTATAAAAATATTCAAAGTAGAAATATCGCCAAATCAAACTTATAAAAACTATAATTACTTCACAACTTAACTCAATGGTAACAAATATAATTTCAATCCGTATAAAGCAATGAGTGCATTACAGAATACAGAGTGTAGTGAAGTTTGCATGAAAATAAGAGCAAGAGAGAACGATTGGTCGTTAACATATAGTCTTAATCTCTTAATCTAAGTGAAACACTCGCTTCTGAAGCGGATATTTAATGTTGAGCCCCCATCAGTGTCAAATGTTTTTGATGGTTACGTTGCCCGACGCCACTATTGGCAGACCTCGCTCCACGAGGGGCAATCCTCGCTCAATGTTGAAACATTCCAACATGGCCGCACCCACTGAGCTACGCCTGGAAAACATATGTTAGTGAGACAAGAGTATTGTTTACAAGGGGAAGTAAGGGCTGATTTTGCCTATACCTCCATAGTTTGCATTGAGAGGTGGCTTCTCCTCTTATTGTCCTAATTAGTGAACGGAATTGCATCATTTTCAGATTGTAGCTTAACGCTTTTCAAGACAAGTTTAGAAATTTTTTAATCTTCCGACACATGCGAGATAAGATCAGTGACGTGTTTTTTACCATACAAGAAACAAATCGGATGCCGGCATTCATCGCTAGGTGACTGGTAAGGCCCTAATGCAATGATTGAGTGTCAAAATGGGTTATGGAGCGTAAAAATGGCTGTGAAAACCCTTTTCCATTGTAGTCTTCTGTGAGAAGCCTGGGTACCACCAAAAGTACATATCTTTCCAAAATAGACATTTTCACGGCAATTTTAAAACTCCCTAACCTTTTTCTGCCTTTACCCTCACTCGTTGCATTAGGGCCATAAATTTTCAGTCAGGATGAATGTCTCCAACTGATATGATTTTTACAGTTAAAAAACGTGTCACGAATTTAACCTCTATACGGTGGGAGATTCAAATAATTTTAAAATTTTTCAAGACACACTGTAACGTGTAAGTACATGTAAAAAAAAAGTAGTAAATAATGTGGGTTTGTTCACAAATAAAGTCAGTAAGGGGCGAGGAGCCTCGTTATGGCTCACACACAAACTATAAACTATAAGCTCAAACGACCATGGTACATTGAAACATTAAATGTACTGTATAAATTTGATTGCAGGTTACCTCCAATATATTTCTTTTTAACTTTGGTATATAGAATTTATTCTAAGAATCCAATGGTCCCCGAGTTTAAAAAGGTTTACAGCTTCCTCAACCTATGTGATCATGTTTGAACGGCCACATTTAAATAAAACTTAATTGGAAATAGAACCCTCTTGTATTGACACTAAGGTCAGCAGAGGTCATGGCTACAGAACAGACCTGGTAAGCATTGAAGTCACCAGCGTCCACTTGTTGAGCCGAGGGTCGTATCGCTCAACAGAGTTGAGTGAAGAACTTCCATCGTTCCCTCCGAGGGCTAATAATGTTCCGTCGTAACCTACAACTTCATGTGTCGACCTACAAGAAAATAAACACAACATAAGTTAACACTTCTGAAATTATTATAGTTTCAATTTCAAATTGACGTATTTAGATCTGGTGTATCAACTCGTTTCCTATTGTAGAGTACGCTTAGTAGTTAGTTTGAATTAAGAAACAATCTGAAAGCCGATGGGATAACTCTCTGTTATAAAGACATTATTGAGAGTAGTGATGGCTTTTTATTGAACACTTTTAATTTTGGTAAGATTGATAATACTGGTGTAAGAAAGGTAGTTCAAATAGATAAGTAGGTGATTTATCAAATATATATATATAGTTATCCTCAAACTAACCTCATAACCTTTACGTCCTATCTCACTGGCTCCCGCAAGCTAATGCTCGGTTTTCTTTAAAGTGGGTTTCATTTTAATGTCAAGCACCCGATCCTTCGTTTGCCAGGATTATTTATTTAAAGCCCAATGATCTTACAACAGAAAAACTGTGAAAAATCAATTTGCATAAACCTCCGACAAACGACAGAACACAGAAGATACAATACCTTCTAGAGTGCATGGGTGCGATTGGTTCCCACGTGTTGCGCCGTACGTTGAAGCGTTCTCCGCTGGACATGCACATGGTTCCGTCGTTGCCACCAACACAGTATAGCAGTCCGTCGAGCGCCGCTACGCCACAACTGCTGCGACGGGACGACATGGACGGGACGGCCTGCCACCTGCCGATCCTGGGGTCTAGACGCTCCACGGAGGACTGGTAGTTTGTAGAGTCAAACCCTCCCAGGGCGTAGATGCAGTTCTCTGATAACAATAAAAAAAACAGTGTTGTATCAAATAGAATACTAGAAGTAACCGCAAACTTCTACAACCTAACGTATAAGTATGATGAAACATCCAACCAAACAAAATTGTACTGAATACTTGTGGACATCCGGTACATTTACTTATTGAACATAGATCAATCAAGTAAGAAAACACAAGTTATAATGGTTCCTAAAATGTATGCAGTAACAATTGTTTGACCAAAAATATCTCAACTTTCGTTCAAAAGATATTTTTCCTTATGTACTATTACATTTAATACATTTAAGTTACATTGTTATATTTAATATTAACAGGAGTTTTTGTTGATCTATTTTCCCCTTCAAGGTTATTCTTGTACACAAACCTTAACACATTCGCTGCTGAAACCTTTAAACAGGCGCTCGCCAATGGCGGCGAGGCCCGGGCGGAGCCCCGACGCGCTAACTGAATCAGCGATCGCTATTGGTATTGAAATATCTCAGTAAGACGAATCACAAAAGAGCAGTGGTGATTGTTCTGCGTTACTCCGAAAGTGGACGTAGTTCACTGAAACACCCAAAGGTAGCAGCACTGCCTGGATCAATAACCAGAGTCTTTGTAATACGGCTCGAACTGAGAAAATCCCCGAAAACGGGACAAAAGCATTGCCAGACGGGATTTTACGGGCAATTTTTGTACCAACCTACACCAGAATAAAGCTTGCATTATAAGCTACAGGCTGGTAAAGATTACAACGTTCCCCGACAATGGCTGAGCTCACATTGAAACAATAAACATGACATGGCGTGCTCCCCCACCCGTGGACCCCCCGCTCCTCAGCTGAGACGCGCGGGGTCCACCGGTGGACCCGCCGCATCGAATATGTTAAACAGGCTGTGGGTGATCTGGACAAATTTTGATCTGCTTACCAAATAAATACCACTTAGATATCTCGATAAAAAATTACTAACAATCAATGGTGTCCTACAGTACAGAACCTCTACTTACCCTTCCCATTAGATAAACACCATAAATGGCTGTAACACACCATAGAGTAAAGCCAAGAGGCTCTAACTAGGAGACTTACCAAATATTGTATATTCATAGACCATAGATGTACCATAAGACTTACCAACAATGGCAGTCCTGCAGTAGCGCCGTCGTGTTGCCATGGCGGGGCAAGAACTCCACACCCCCGTCAGAGGGTCGTAGCGCTCCATCGAGCTGAGGCAAGAGGCTCCGTCATAGCCACCGCATACGTAGATCAGGCCATCAAACCCACAGATACCTAAGGCACATTTAGCATAGTCAAATAACTTTAAGTATACAACATGAAGAACAAGTGCCTCTTTTTTAGGGTTTTTGTGAGGTAGCAAGGCCTAATTAAGTTGTTATGTAACATAGTTAATGTCACCTATAACCACAACTTCCTGACCACTATTGGATCTGAATACATTTCTCTTCAAGTCCAACCTTCTTTGGTTGAAACCTCTGAGCTAGGAATACAACTGGAGGTTGTTTGAACTTATTGAATACAAAAATCGAGACAATGTAAAATTGTATTATGTTGGTTTGACCAACTAGGAGAATCAACCAGCTCATTGGCTCATGACTTTATTAGAATCCCACATTAGAACACCTCAGTTTCTAATGTACTAAGAACAATGTGTTTTTCTTGTTTTTTGTTTTTGTTTTTTTTACAAGTGTTGTGTTTCTTTTGTAGAGTGAACTCTATCCCAAACCATTTATTGGTCCATTACAGAAACCAATAATGGCCTCATTTACCATGTCTTTGAGTTGGACATTTCCTTTCAAACTGATAAAATCGTCTGAAAGATTTTTTTAGACAAACCTTCAAGATTGTTCGAAATTTGTAGGTTATAAGGTTATTGTCATTTTTGTATACGGTACAGTGTAAAGTGTTCATTTGTACCAGAATGAACTTTCAAGGCAAGCCTTCTATCCACAAAACAAAATTGATGATTAACTAATCCATTAACTATGTCTAGTACAACAACACAAACATGCAGATATTATAGGTTTTTGTAACTGACCTAGACAACTCCGCTTGGTACCCATAGGTGTGATGGTGTTCCATTTGTTGGTTTGAGGATTGTAACACTCAGCTGAGGCTAGGTCTGAGGCACCGTCATACCTGAAATGTTTAGTGAAATACAACTCTCAAGCACCTAATTCGTATCCAATTCTTTATTTATCTTAGTTGATAAATAAAATAGTGATTCTAATAACATATAACTTTTGTGTTGGACAATTACCAAAAAAACCTGGGTTAATGTTTAAAATTTTGTTTAGTCTTATCATAGACAAATAGAATAAATATAGACCGACAGCAGTGCTGTGGTTAGCATGTTCCGGCATACACCGCTAGGAGTACCGCTGCAGCGTCTGCTAGTAGCATACGGCTCTTCGCCTGCAGCGGTGTGCACCGTAACTATACAGCACTCCTAGAGGCACATCGCAGAACCTTCCTTTAACAATCTATTTATTCTATTTGTCTATGGTCCTAAGTACGTATAAAAATATGAATTTTTTTAACAAAAAAATTACAGATGCACTTCCTTTCTATGATATCCCCTCGTAAACACCATTCTTGAATCAAAAGCAATATATTGTAATGATTTTGCTTTGTTAGAATAAAACTACACAAGCTAATCTTGTTAAATTATTATGACTGAAGATGATTTATTTAGGCTTATTTCTTTCACGCTCTCTAGTTATACTACAGATTAACTATTATGATTTTCTAATCTACACAGGTTTCACACCATATGTTTATGTAGACTTTTATGACTATCTAGATTTTTTTCCTTACCCTCCAACAACGTAAAGTAGTTTTCCGAGACCGGTGACTCCACTGCGACTACGACGGAACAGCATTGGAGCGATGGGCAACCACCTGTCATCACGGGGATTGTAGCACTCGCACTCGCTGTGGATAGCAAACAGGCTGCCACCACCTGAGAAACAAGAAAACTCACGGTGAAATGTCCCGCTTAAGAAATCAATCATAACAATGTACAAATTATAGTAATACTCTAGAACATCTGACCTTGAGAGAAATAACTCCTGTGAATATTTGACCAGCCATCCAACCACTTTGTTAGCGTCACTTTTGTTTCTGTGTTATTTTCATAATATTTATTTCAACCCTGGATGGGTATTGCACTTAGGGCGAGTTATTTTTAGCGTACCACTCCCATCCCTCTCCACCGACGCTACCCTCCTTTTCAGCAGTGCTCTCAGCAGTAAGTTGACATGTGTTGGCTGCCTAGTTATGTCGTAGTGTGTTTCTTTGTGTCGTTGCTTGTCGGTTTCTTGCAACGCATACATCATTCAAGTTTGGTAAAATGGCTGGCAGTATGTCAAATTTACCCTTAGCGTCACACTGTATGAATATACCTTACTGTATGATAATTCCTATAAAACTATCAGTGTGTCAAATTTACGTATTGATACCCTTAGCGTCATACTGTATGACAATTTACCTTAAGGTAAAAAATAAAATGTTTAATTTGCTTTGAAATTTTGATTTGTGTTTTTAAATAATTTATTTGCTATTTTTCACCGTTACTTCGAGCTTTTAACAGTCTTGTTATAAAACTCCAATCAAAGGTTTTTGTGTTCCAGCCACAGAACTATGCAGTAGATGGATCTGTAAAAATTTACACTCTTTTCGTATTTGAAAGATTTCTTGTCCAAACACCCAAAATATTACAGATATTACTAACCAACAGCAAATATGTAAGGCTTGATTCCCTCAGGGCGGCGCTCGGACGTGCGCTCGCTGGCAAGAGCCGAGCGCTGCTCTGGCAGTAAGTGGTACTTCATGGCCTCCAACAGCAACTCCTTGCACTCTGAGCTCTCCCGGACGAGCGCCTCCGAGTCCACAGCGGTCATGAGGAAGTCCCGTGACATGAGCGGCAGCCGAACATGCCTCAGCAGCTGAAACAATAACAAACTATGTCACAGGGTTTTATACAGAGTGTGTACAATCACATTTGAGAATATATATTTAACCGTGGCATAAATGTAATCTCTAATGTATTTGGCATGAAAATATATAACTTGTGATACATATTTTTGGCCAGAAAATTTATTCAAAACAAAATGACTCTAGGATAGAAATAAAGTGTTCAGTTTTAAAGGGTCAAGATGGTGAAAAGATTTTTCAGCAGGCTATTGAATTTAAGGAAAAAAATTAAGTTTTTTAAGCTAGACAAAATTAGTCTGAAATTATTGACTTTTGATTACTTAGACATCTCATCCATACAGACCAGATGTATCTGTTTCCAGATGTATTTTGTTTTGTTTTTTCAAGAACGTAGTTGACTACTCACTGTGAAGCAGACAGTGAGCAGCAGTGAAAATTTAATTTTTCTCCCTTAGTATTCATTAATATTCATTCATAGGAAGATTCGGAGGACTGAGAGAACTGGCGACAAGCATTGACTAAGGATAAGTTTCTTATCTTTATAGTCAATGCTAAAATATCTCTGTCAGTCAATGTAGAGGGGTCTGAGAACGAAAATATTTTTTGTAAACTTAAAAACACACATGACATTTGCTGCATTTTTTAACGGTATATTGGCATAAAATCACTAGCTGTTTTATTGAATAATACTTTATTTTTACAACTTTTGACTAAAGGATTTTTAAATTACAGTGGATTAGGAAGAGGAAAAGATTATTGGATGAGAAGACAATTCAATGTAGAGATCAATCAAACTAAGAACAAAAGTAACTGCTTTCATGCTTCTTTCATCTATCATAAGTCAGAGATTCGACAGTGCAGCATTACCACAAGCCATCCGTCTTGCAGTATCAGTCATGACTAAAATAACATTAACATTATTGTTATATGAAATAAATTTTCACAAGATGTGCATACTGCATACAATACAATTTTTTTTAGACAGAATGTACCAAAAATAATAATCATAAAAAATACCAGAAGAGCGGTGTCAATGATTAAGTGCTTAAACTTAAAATTAGCTATATTTTTATCATTGGTTTCAATGCAAGTTTGAGATAATAAATCACTTACTTTTGCTATGTTCTGGACCCTTTCAGCGACATCATGCTTTACCCAACTTAACACAGCTAGGAAGACCTTCTCTTCAGAGGAAATGTTCAACTGGCTGCTAGAAATTAATTCTTCCACCTATAAAAGAAATTTAACTCAATTAAAATATTACTCTGTTGTTACTCAATTTAATTTTAGTGTTCGACTAAGCAGAGAATCAAGTACAAAATCTGTGTTCATGAAAAAGTGTCATAAAAAAAACTTTGGATATCTTTGTATTTAGACAGGATATATATTTGAATCAACAGGAACAGGTGGAATAGACTAAATGAAAAGTGTGCCAATAATTTCTACACTTCCATTTCATCAAATTAGATGCACTGGATTTTAACCCCCTCCAACACTTCACTGTATTTGATTGAGGTGTAATATTTCTTTAGGAACTTTTTTGTTTGGAATGAAATTCTGTTCTAACCTCTGTAAAAGGCAGCAGCAAAAACTCCTCAGTGTTCATAACTTCTTGGAAGTTTTGCAGAGCGAATCTATGAGATCTTCTATGAAGTTCCTTGCAAGAATGTGCATCTAAAACAGAGAATCGTGCAAACCATCAGTTTAGAACAACAAACAATTCCAAGGGCACAACAATTCCAACGATGATTGCTTTGGTTAACAACTTTTACTTGGCTAAAACTTTTAACCGACCAACACCCCTTGAAAAGTATTTACTTACATGCAAGGAATGGGAATTTCACTATAGTTTGAATCCACTGATCATAGAAATGAACATAAATATTTGTATTATTCTAACGTTCTGTTAATAGAACAATTGATTGTAATAAATCATAAAATAATAATTATTGGTTTTGAAAAATTTAATATTTTTTGCATGACTCACTTGTCTACGTGCACAAATTGATATGTATAAACTATATAAGAGCAACTGTATTTTCATATCTTAAGCTGGAGAAGTTTCCAAAACAACGAAGAGCTCAGTGATTCTTTTTGGACTGTAACTTACTTGTAGAAAGGAAAGACAAGTTTGACACAAACATGATCTTATTATTGTTCTTACTTAAATTTTACATATTTTCTTTTCTGCAAGTACGAACTGTAAAGCCTACAAATTATTAAAGAATAGTTACAAAGTGGCAAGTAATTTCATTAACACACAATATACAGGGTGTTTCCAAATTGTCTGAACATATTTTGTGGACTTGTTCACTGGGCTAAGTAAAACATAAAATGCCATATAAGTATGGGTCTAAAAAAGTGCCTAGATTTCTGTCTGTCAGTCTGTTTGTGATTTTTATAAATTATTTTATATCTTGGGCATTTTTAACTATAGAAATTTCAAAATTAGTATAAATGTGTATTTTAGTAGGTAAAAAGAGCTTACAAAGTTTCGTTCCAATATCTCAAGCCGTTTCAATATGGTGACTATTTAAAATCTTTAATACAAAATTTCATGAAAACTGTATAAACATTAAGAAAATTGTTTTTCAGCTCAAAAAGATAGAGAATTGAAATCCAAATCAAATATGAGACCTTGTTTGTTAAAATCGGATGACAAACAACCCAGTTATTAGTTTTTTTTTCAACATTCAGTTATGCAATTTAATAGGACTTCCATATTGTTTATTATTTTGTTATTTTACAGAACAGTATGGTTGAAATTTCTATCTTGAAAAATGTCCAAGATATATAGAATAATTCTTAAAAATCACAAACAGACCCACAAACAGAAATCTAGGAATTTTAGACACATACTTATATGGAATTTTATGTTTCTATTAGCCCAAGGAACAAGTCCACAAATTTATGTCCAGACAATTTGGAAACACCCTGTATACATATTCAATAAATCGGAATACACAATTGCAAAAATTAAACTGGCCAAAAAATAAATAAATAAATAAAACCTATTAGCCAAGCTATTGTAGTTCTGAGCATCATTTCCAGTTGTTTCAATTTTCCTCAATTCTGATGTTATACTTTGATGTCATGTTCATGTTAGCTGTCTTCAACTGACACGAAAACTCGTTGTTAGTTAACCTTATTAATTGATACTGTAGTCTATTGTAAAACCAAAGCACAAAAATATCAGATTAATCTACAAACTAAATAGTTAAATCCTACATTTGGTTGTAGAGGTAATATTTTCCTGCTGTATTTTCCATAGACTTTACTACCTATGTTTTTAAGTTTAGTGTTGTAAAAATTACCGACTATTTTTTTTTATATTTTTAAACATATTCAGATTTGACCATGTACGCACGTGCAGGCCATCAACCCTATATCGATCCAAAGCCCAGACACCCCCAACCTCTTTATTTACTCTCTCACTCTCCCCCCCTCTCTCACTCTCTCCCCCTACTCACCTCTCCCCCACGACGCGGCTTCTACATTATGTACACTGTAACATACCTTTCTGTTCGCCGACGCACTCTACCCAACCCAGTGTAAAAATGGAACTCTTCGTAGTGCCTACATCAAGGTGAAGGCAACTTGCAGCGCATTTATGTACTGCGGGATCGCATTTGAAAATGTAGGCGTTGAAAAGATTAATGTTTTTACATTATTTAGTAGGCTAATGTTTATCCTCTTCTATATATTAATAGGCAAGCATGTTTCTTTAAAACCTTTTTACTCAGCTCGTGTGCATCGCTGGGAAAATATACAAACACTGTCAGAAAAATATTTTCCTGTAGATGTGCAGAATCCTTTAAAAAATTAAAATAGACTTAAAAACCACAAAAAAATTAATTTATCATTTAAAAAATTAAAATGGGATTTATGGGTTGCCATTGTTAGTGGTGACGAAATAACAACCAACAAAATATAAACAGAATATCAAAACAAATTGAAGAAATTCCAATCACATGTTTTATTTACTGCCTGGGGTGAAAATAGAGAAAGTCTGTACACTACATATTTATGGTCGAGTTTTCGACCACTGGACGACCTCTACTTTGTATTTACTGTATGATTTCCAGCTAAAAAAGTCTTGGAGTGGAATAGAATGTCTTTTGATTCCGTTAGAGAATCACATAATATAGTTTTATTTAAGTTAGCTAACAAACATCTCTAATATTATTACTGTGTGGCTTTTTTTAATGGGATTCTCAAATTCAAAGGAAGTACTCTATACTTTTCTATGTAAATAAGTGAACAGCTTAAGGTGGGTTCCGATCCACCAGAACCAGGTATTGTCTGACAACTAAAATCTATTTGTGATCGAATTTGAATGCAAAATCGTTTACCATACCAAAAAAAGAAAACTCAAAGTTAAAACCAAAAGATATTACGCTACTTAAATAAAAAAAGGGTGTCACCAATACTGTATCATCCACGAGTAAACTGTCAATGGTAAATAGACGCTGCCACGAATACTAGAAAATAAACTGTATGTATCATAAACATAAACAATTAATGGTACTGGCCCGAAAGTAAACATTACTTAACATTGCTTTAATGGAACACTCTAAGCCATAATGTTAATGTTATTAGTATAGGATTCCACCTTGAGTAATTTGTTTATGTTTATGATCTTCTTTCTGTGCTGCGTATTATTTTCTTTTCGCTAACGTCTTTGCACTAACCATCGCATGTTGTGAGAGATACTCCACGAGGTTGGTTTATGGTCCATTACAGATCCAATATCTGTCTCATTTATCGTCTCGGAGTTGGACTCTTCTCTAGATTATAAAGATTCGACCGATATACTCAACCCAAGAATTGGTTGTGTCAATCCATCTAGGAAACTAAACTAGGAGAGTATGTTACAAACTGCCTATGTTTTTGATCGTCTTGAAACTAAAAAAAACTACTTAGATTTGAAAATTGGTTTATCATAGAGTGAAAAAGTAGGGAAATCAAAAACAGTTATGCTAGCTTACACACAGAAAACCGGGCTACCTGTCTTGTCGGGCGGGCATTAATTGCGCCAACTGACCTGAGTCAGGTAATCGGGTATTCCTGAATTAATTGCGCCAACTACTCGAGGGATCCACCCGATACGTTTCTTAACCAAGCCAAGTGGCTGCCCTCTTTGACTGTATAATTGAGTAGGTTAGGTTAAGTTAGGTTAGGTTAGAATGGCACGTAAACAAGGACATTCCTTCTGCTAGCAACTCACCCCTACCTGACTTGGGCTTGGCGCAACTAAGGTACACTTCGGTGCAATTAATGCACGATCGTCTTGTCAACTTCCACTGTTCCGTTGACGGATCTATCTATACCTGAACCCTCTCCATCCCATGCAACCCAGATAAAGATTACAATATGTCAAATAATGAGTTTATATTACATATTCAACCATCGAAAATGTTCGTTTAGGAAGACTAAGTTCTTATGAGCACAATATACTCTCCGTCTATGTGGTTGACTGAGTGCAACCGAAAAATATGTGTTTGTTAAATCTATTTTATTTTATCGTATCAAAAGGTTTGTTAGTTCAAATGCGTACACAGATTCTACGTTTTTAGCACTTGTTCTACTTGTTGATCCAATGCGTAGTTTGACACAGCAGCAATTTTATTTTTGACATAACTTTTCTTTGGTCTCAAGTAAATTTGACTGAATTAACACAAAATCACTCCCAATGAATTCCTTTTGTTCATTAACTCTTCATTACCTTCATAGTTTACGAAAACACAACTCGAACCCCATCTCGGAAGAAAAGACACAACATTGTCAGCCACGACTAAATCGTCGCAAAATAGTACCGCGCAAAATCCAAGTTGGGTTGATATCGAAGCACTTCGATGCGAAAGAAACCGATAAAATCAAAGTCTTGTTGAAAACCTCTTCCGATAAGAGCCCTCCAACCTGTTGCCGGGACATGAAAGCGCTATGAGGGCCGAGGGGGGGGGTGTGAAAAGTGCGTGACACAAGGGGGGAGGGGGAGGGGGAGAGGGGAGCGTGACGAAGCTACATCACGCAACGTCAGCTACAGGTGAAACCGAAACTATCGTGTTACAAACCTCTTATCACCCATTCATTCTACCCCCTTCAATCGAGCTACTTTCTTCCACAATTTCACTTCCGAATTTACACAGTCACGCTCGATTATTTCACAACACGTTCGAATACAATACCATACACAAAAAGAATAAAGACCGACAGCAGTGCTGCGGTTAGCACAGGTTCCGGCGTCCACCGCTAGGAGTGTCGTGTAGTTACGGCGCACACCTCTACAGCGTCTGCTGGTAGCATACGATTGCAGCGGTGTGCGCCGTAACTACACGGCGTTCCTAGCGGTGGAATCCGGAACCTGTGCTAACCGCAGCACTGCTGTCGGTCTTAATTCTTTATTCACACACCCATTTTGTTACCGCAAAATATAAATTAGCCTATATGGTTTGACTCCAGTTGATTTAATTTAATCAGGGTACAGAACTTCAGATCGATGGTGCCAAAATTTACTCATGGGTATTTTAATTTTAATTTTTTTTGTTTCGAGCAAAGGAGTTTTTGGCGCGGTCGATAAGGAACTCAAGTTATAGTAAAATTTACACATATTTAGTTTTTCAACTATGGGAAACAAGGAACTATAAGGTACTACTGACAAAGCTCACAAAAAA